ATCATAACCTACTAAATAATTATATAAAATTACTTAAATTAATACAATATTACGAAAATATGTTTTTTTTAGTTATTAAAATTTTTAATTTATCAGTTGAGAGCAATTTATAGAATTCTCAAATTTATATATTTTTATGAAAAATAAATATTTGACTAACTCATAAAATATGAAATCATTTAATTAAGTAAATTACTAGTCGATAACAATTTTTGGGCAAGCTTTTCGGAAGTTATGTCAATTTAAAAATGTGAACTCGAGGAGTGACGTGGGTATAACTATTTTCGTCATTAGACATATAGGCCATATCCCATCCTCAACTAAAAAAATATGAAGAAACATAATAGAATTGACATTTAAATTCGTAAATTTATAGTAAATGTGTTCCTATTACTCTTTAAACTTTTTAAGTACATTATCTTACCCTTTTTTTTTAAATTCTAAAACTTTTTCAAATCCAAGATTTTTATACAGATATTTAGAAGTTTCTGCATAATATTCGTTTAGACAATCACTTAAAAAATGACTTAAATCCATGTTTTTATATTGTTGTGCTTCATATTGTTTTAAATTCTCTTTAAGTAAGAACTTTGGTTGATTATCGTAAACAATTAAACTATTTTTCTTCTTAATATTTTGGTAAGTCTCGTGAGCTTTTCCTTCGATAAAATTTTTCACATCTAAAACAAATTCAATAATATCGTTTTTTGTTTTTGTATCGTTTAGGTTGATAAAAATCTGTGTATTTTGATGACTTTTTAATGACACATATTCTACAAAAGTATACATTTCGTCTACTATAGGTATTGTGAAGGTTTTTTTTGCTTTTAATAATAATTTAAAGTCTATATAGCTAAGATACAACATTACACTGTATAACTGTTCAAAAATTATTTTTGAATTTTCCAAAACGCTTTGAAGTAAAGATGGAATACGTAGTAAATTATTACCCCGGTTGATGTAATTATAATCTTGACATTGTTTGATTATAATGCGAATATGATCAATAAATGTTTTGATGACTTCTGCGTACATGTAATTTAATATATGAATAATAGTTTCGAATCTTTTTGCTAAATTCATACCATTCCCTCGAATAAAAACGTCCTTAATATTAATACATATATCAGTAGAGGAGTCATACTTTATCTGTAAATGACACATAATACACCATCCATCTTGTTTACTCATATGATCCAATACTTCTGACAAATATTTTTCATAAACTTTTGCGCTTATTTTACAATCAACAAAGCATTTTGAAGTTAAAATCCACAGAATACAACTAATAAAATAAAATTGTCCTGTTNCGCTTATTTTACAATCAACAAAGCATTTTGAAGTTAAAATCCACAGAATACAACTAATAAAATAAAATTGTCCTGTTAACATAATTCACAAATTTAACGTGCAAAAATTTATTAGTTAATTTAATTATATTAAAACTTATTTGTTTTTTTCTGTATAATATAAATTTCAATAGATAATATATTTGTGCAGTTTTGTTAATAAGATTTTCAGCAATAATAGCAGTTGATTAATATTAATTTATTACTCTTGGTACAATAAATATGTTAAAATAATTTTATTTATAAGTATGTTATTTATGACCTACAACATTATAAATGTCATAAATAATTATTTATTGACTGTAGCTTTTTCAAATTTTAATTTAACTTAACATCATCTGTAAAGTAATTGGCTTATAATATTATACAGAGTGATTCTTTTAACATGAATCACTTTGTTATTCGAAAGATTAATTATTTTAATTAAACTATCAATTATTATTGATAATTTTTAAAAATTTTTTTAATTTTATGTTTTTCTCAATTAATCAATCATAAAACATTTTTTATGGTTATCCATTATACAGTGGTCAATTTTATATTTTCAATGGCAACATACATAATCAATAAGCTATTTTAGGTTCAGGAATACTATTTTTCTTTTAATATAATAAGAAAAGTATTTCTAGAAAAATAAAAAATTTCTCAAACCATTAAATATTATGAAATTAAATTTTTTATAAATAGAAACGTACTTATAATGTTTCTTATTGGGTAATTTATAATTTTATAAAGTAATTGAGAGCAGTGGCATACACAAAAATTAAATTGGGGGGGGGGTGGGGGGGGGTTGAAATTTAAAGAAAATTAGATATCACGAAAATTCCTGTTTTCGATTACTTTATTGTGGAAATATTTATAGTATGATATGATCTTTTTTATTGTTATTACTTATTGCTTATTATCCAAAATTATCGCTTAATCAACCCCCAAAACCCCCCCTTGCGTAAGCCAGTGATTGAGAGTAAATGAGTGAGTACATATCCAGTAAAACTTATAATGTAACAGCAATATCAATTTACTTTTTTTTTTAGGATATTCATTATAATTTTAGTTCAAATTTATTTTCAAAAAATTAATAAATTATATTTATAACTCTAACACAACATAGATACATATCATAATTTTTATATTAAATATTTCTAAAAAAAGCTATTAAATAAAATTAGTTTTTTTTTCTCCAAATATAAAGTAAATAATTATACAAAATACTTTAATTGAAATGACTAAAGAGAGAATAATATCAAAAATTGTTATTAACTTATATTCTATAATTTATTCAACATAAGTAATGCTTAATAAGTGTTTACCTTCTAGCGGCAGAAATCAATTATAAATGTTTGAACATTTATATTCATATGTTTTTAATAATAATTATTACATAATAATCTATAATAATTATTGAGAACATAATAATTATGTTCTCTATTCTTTAACCTACCATAAATTTAAAAACTGGCNTTATGTTCTCTATTCTTTAACCTACCATAAATTTAAAAACTGGCCCTAGGATCAGGTTAAATTGTCTATCATATAGACAATGTTAAAAATTTCAACATTTCTGTTAGTTCAATAGTTCAATGGTGAACTACTGGCCCATTGTGTTTGACTAAGACGTAACGAAGAACCTGACAAAAACTCAATGATTTCGAAATAAATATTCTAACAAAATTTTACTCGTGACAAGGTTTTAATTCCTATACAGGAACTTTTAATAAGCGAACAATATTTCTTTGACTCTCATTATTCAAACTAAAATGAAATGAAAAACTGCCAGTAAACATAATTCTGAACTAATATAAAATTATAATATTGTTTAGCTTCGATATGAAGCTGAGTTGGTATTAATTTTAACACAATATGTTTATTTATTTATTTATTTATTTTAGCCTTGATGCGAAGCTAAAAAAGTGTTAATTATACTATGTTTTCTTTCTTTTTGATGTATGTTGCCACTTTTTCTCAGCTCTCACCGGACTGATTTCTTTCAACGATACGTCAAAAGATCACAAATTGTCTTTAGTTGAATTTTAATAGATTTTATATTAATTGCTAAAATAGCACAGAGAAAATTTTTATTAAAGCATTTAATTAAATATTAATATACATAATATATTCATCTTCTTACATAATATATTATATTATGTATAATATCTTTATAATTAATGTCTTTAATTATACATTAATTATAATATTAAAATTATTAATAATATATACATTTAATATTAAAATTATTAATAATATATACATTTAATATTATAATATTAAACCAGAGATGAATTGAGAAGATTAGATTTACCAATATTGATGCAAACTTTTGAAGGTAGGAAAAGTTTTTATTATTCAAATTTGAGTACATTTTCATTTAGGTGAATAAACAATAGTTCTTTGACTTAATTTTAAATAATTTTTACTCTTGCCACTAAGTATGTTTTAAAAATAACTATTTTATAAATTCAAATGTTTCATTTTTGGTATACTATATACATTAACGTGATATTAATAATAATAATTTATATTTGCCCAAACTTAAGTAGACTAATATCACATATATTTTTAATCAATATATCTTAAAATAATTTAAAAATAATTAAAGCTAGTGCTTTTTAAGAAAGGACCAATAATTATGAATAATTACTGAACAATATTTTAAATGAAATAATTTAAATTACATTTAAAGTAATGTTTAACAATAAAATTTGTAATAATATTAATAATATATTCAATACAATATAAATATTAAAATACATAATATAATGTATAATGTCATTTTAACATAATATCCATCAGGATATCTATGGTCTCAATAAAAATTAAACAAAACTATGGCGGATTACTATATGTGGATTTTAAATAATAATGTGAACACTTATCACAAAAAAAAAACAAAAGGATATTTCTAAAATAATTTTTGTGAAAGATTTATCATTTATCTGAGAACTTCGATATTTGTAAGTCCGTGGTATTTTTAGTATTTTACTATTCAACCATTACTTCTATTTTCTTTGTACTGGAATCATTCAGAGTCCAGGATTTTACACTGTAGAGTAAGCAAGTAAGTCAAAATATAATATTATTCATTTTTCCAAGTCAATAAATTTCGATCAGAAGAAGTTTCTTAAGTTAGATATAATTAATCATTACCATGATAAAAGTTGGTTAGAAATGCGGCCTTATCAATTAGATTTAAAACTATCTAATTTTCTAAGTCAGTCATAGTGGGAAATCTGCGAACATAAGATATACCAGATAATTGAACAAAAATTCAAAAAAAAAATGAAAAAGTTTAATCATTTAATTTCAGATAACAAAAATAAGGGGTAAATAAATAATTTTAATGAAAGTCCGGTAGTTTCATTTTCTAAAAAATGGGGAGAAAATTTAGTTAAGAAATGCACGAACTTGTGTTTTTAAATAAAGAAACAGACATACTTAAGTTGAGTCTTAAAACAGGTTTTTACAGAAAAAATTTCCAACGAATGATCTCTTAATAGGCATTAAAATGTGGGTTAAAAATATTGATTTATAATTAACAAGACTTAGCAAGAATGGAGTATTTCAACTTCCTACAAAAAAAATCTGTTATAAGTAAAGAGGGTTTAAGAGAAAAAAAAAAGATTTTCATGAGTGATACAGGACTAAAAACTAAAATAAAAACTGTTTTTATCTACATTCAAATAAGGGTATATCCATAGTAGTACTGAAATTAGAAGATTATTTTAATACAGTATGGAAAATGATTCAACAGAGTTCCTCTCGATAAATATAACGATTGGTTTTCTTAAAGATGTGGGTTATATCTTACAACACACAATTATTTAAATGGCGGTAGACTTTTATTAAACAAAATTATAACACGAAAATAGACGTATAAACACTAAAAGAAAATATATGTATATACAGTAAGGAAAAATAAAATAATCGAAGTAAACATAATACACGATGACAACAGCGGCGGGGTGTAGCGGTCGTGTAGCGTATCGCGGACTAGACAGTCTGAACTGAACTAACTGAACTGACTGATTCTTCCGATATATATATAGCTCCGATAAGGCTCTCGCTAATTCTAGAATATTCTATACCCGCGTAGGTTATCTATGGCGTTATCGAAGTTTCTCGAAGGTTTTTGATAACGAGAACATTCGAGAATATTCGTTGCGTATGTTTTGGTCGCTACAAAGAGTATCTAAAGGAACAAAATATAACAGGATAAAATAAATTAGCTTATTAATTTAACAAAATTATGTATAGATCATAATAAATTTTGTGAACAAATTGAGAGTACAGAAATGGCAAATTCGCTATCACTAGTTTTAATAGAACTTTTCATGAGTAGGTTCAAAACATATTTTAAAAACTCCTATGGTGATTTTCCGAAACTATGATGAGGTATGTAAATGATATTTTTGCAGTAATCAACAAAGATTTAACGAATAATTTAAATTATTTCTATCCAACGATTAAATTCACATACGAACAGGAAGCAGAGAAAAAATTGGATTTTTTTAATTTTAAAAAAGTAGGAGGAACTATATTTTGATATTTATTGGAAAAACACACACCCGTTCAAGTACATTCCGAACAAATCGAAATACAGTTAGCAACACAAAATGGCATTTTTTAATGGTATGGTCTACAGATTAGTTAATATTCTGATTAATAAAATAGATTTTGATAAAGAACTTGGGGTTTTAAGAAAAATAGCTTGATTTAATGGGAAAAACGAAAACGTAATTTCAAAATTAGTCCGAACACAAAAGTGGAATAAAGAAAGGAGTCAGGCTGGTACACTCATTAATGTAACAATGTATTAATGTAGGGGGACAAAAAGTAATTAAATCGCTCATTTAATATCTCAAATGGACTAGCTAGATTTTTTATGAATTTTTGTATTATTTTAGTAAAATCTAAAAGTAATAATTTAAAATTTATTAGGTAACCCTAAAGATAAAGTAGAAGAAAATATAATTTGAAAATTTTAATAAACGGTGCATAGGACAAACAAAAAGAAATATAAGGAACAGATTTAAAGAAATCGATAAATCCTCCTATAGCTGAACACATAATTACTACAATAACACCGTATAAAAAATTAAAAACGTTAATAATTACAAAGAACTTAACATATAGGAGGAAATAGAAAAGTGTTAAAAATAAGTGCAAATAATTAATCACTTAAAAATTCTTTACTAAACTAGTGTTAATTGATAAAATGTGACAATACCATTTTGTGATAATGTCACTAAGTAATAAGGTCATATAAGAGTGTTTTTTTTCAGTGAGAGTGTCAGCATGTGTTTAGCGTTATTTCCAAAATATGTATCCGTGTTTTTTTTTTTTTTGTGGCTTTTTAACGCAACTAAACATTGTACAACTCTCACACAATATATTTTAAATAATGAATAATAATTAATAAATAGAAAATAATTCACTGTAAAATGAGTACAAAAAATAACTAAATATATACATATATATACAGATTGATCGGTATCAGGAACCATTTGAATACTCACAAAATAAATGTAATAATAAAAACAATTTTTTGATTTCTCGAATTATCAACTAATAGTTACTTTTTAGAATTATCCCTTAAACCGTAAAGGAGTGTCAAATTTATTTTTTTTAATGGATACATACATAATTAACTAGCTTATAAAATATAAAATAACTAATTAAGAAAGTGACTGGTCGATAACAACTTTTAGACCAGTACTTTGGAAGTTATTCTTATTTTTATACCGAGGCGAAACGAAGAATACAATCGAGAAATAAATTTGATAAAGTAACATATATTGTGACCATTAATTTTCTTAATTACATCATTTTCTATTTTATAAGCTAGAATAATATGTATGTTTTTATTTAAATAATAAAGTTGACATACCTATAAAATATAAGGGATGAACATAAAATAATAATTAATTATTAATTAATTTAAATAAATAATTGCATAACAGATAAATGCAGATTAATATGCAACTATCAAAAACTAAAAAAAAATTATTATTTCAAGAGAAAATAAGTGATTACTGTTAAAAGAGTAATTTTAAAAATTAATTTTCATGAGAAAAGTTACAAACTTAAAACTAATATTTAGTGTGAAAAAATTTCGTTTTCTTCTGTTCTTTTCTCAATTCATATTGTAATTGTTTAATATCGTAAAATCATCTTCCCTTAATTTATAAAGTACGGGCCCTTATAAATTAAAGGTAGACGATTTTTGAAGGGCTACAGAAATAAAATACTTGAGTCCATTGAAGATAGAACACCCAAGAAAAATAGTTTGTAATAAGATTAAATTAAAGGGACTTAAATAATAAAAAAATAGATGGCACTGTACTGTGTAATATGTTGTTCAAGTAGTGTGGTTAAATAATCTTTTATTTGGCTCATTTAAATTTAATAAATAGTAATGCAGAGAAAAATTATTTGATGAACAAAATAAAAATGGTAATCAAATGTTTATGAACTAGTAATAATCTTACTATTCATATTTTTTTAACCCCTTGAAAAAAATTCTGCTTGCACCACTAGCATAATGATATATACTCGAGACTAATACTAAAGTTAGCAAGACTTGTCACTATAAGTATCACTTTTAAACAAAATATACTATTTGGGAGGGGGTTTGACCCATAATCGCCACGTTGACAATGATAAGATCAAACATTTTTGAGAATAAATCGCTTTGACCATTACCTGAATTCGTGAAAAACTAAAACTTCGTTTTCATTATCATCTATATGTTTTTATCGCAGATAAAACATACGTACATATATATATGTATAACTAACTAGATTATTAAGTTCTATGTGTTAGCAGAGCAAACGATTAAATCCACCTGTCTACTATTTGGATTTGATCAATTGTGTGTTATCGCGTTAAATAATTTAATATCATTGGTGTTTTTCCTATCATATACTTTTAAATAATAATTTTCAATTCTTTATTATCAGTGATTTTGGCCAAATTGAGTGCCTTGAAAGAGGCCATATAGGCCAAACCTACTCAAAATGACGTTTAAGTGACTTTATCTCTTATCACTAGTTAGTATTTAGTTTATTACTAGATTTATATATATATATATAATTTTTATCAGTACTATTTGTGGTTATGTTTTTGTTCGCGTTTGAAAGAAAATATTCTATGATCATTTAAATAATTTCTCATTGAATTGTAATACGAAACCGTATGCTTATATTTTCTTCAGTGATATACATAAATATGTATATATGTATAGAGTAGATACTATTTGTATTTTAATGTAATGTATGATAATGAAAATATACTATACTAAATTGAAAATGAATTGACCTTTAAGGTTTCTATGATATTCTTCTATAGCTTATAACTACTGTGTTAGATATATTAACTATGTGAAAAACATTGAAGATAATAATCATTGCTAAAAGAGGTAAAATAAAAAATAAAGTTTCTTTTTCAATATTCTAATAATTAATAATTTATTTAAATTTTATGTATTAATATTTTTACTTTATTAGTTTCATTATCTATTAATAATTTTTTTAATTGACTCTTTAATAATTTTGTTTAAAATTGGTTAAACCTATTTATGTTTTATTTTATTATATTTATGTATATAATTTTTTTTGTTACAGAAAAATCATGTTTTGCCCTAATGGTTCAATTTTTGATTTGTGGGTTAGAGATACAAGTTCAGAATGTTTTGTAGATACAACAGCTGCCAGTATATTGTCAGTTTTTATGATAATATTCGGAACAGCACAATGCTCAGTGTACAAAAAATACAGTACACCCTTGTCAGAAGCTGTAATACCACAATCAAAACTCTACTATTTACAGATGTCTATAACATTCATACTTCCATTATTATCAATAACAAAATTTTTAGTTGATGTCTACTTTTTTCAAAGTGGAGTTATATATGGATATCAAGTGAGTTTATTTAAATAAAAATAGGGAATATTTGTATAATATTTTTATTTTTTAGGCTGTATATCTAGTTGTCATAATTTTTGTTTTTCCTCTTTCTGCAAAGCTCATTTTATTAGAGCGACATAGCTTACTACCATCAATGCCTGCTAGAGGACATGGTTTAGTTCTTTTAATATTTTGGACATTAGTTTTCACATCAGAAAATGTTTACTTTTTAACTTTGAAGACAGAAGATTGGTGGTTTCATTTAGAAAAGTAAGCCAAGTATTAAAATAAGCAATAGTTTATTTAAATAATGTAGGTAGCAGTAGCTATTTCTTTATTAATAATATGATATATATATATATATACAAGAAATGCATATAAGAAATTTTACAAATCTTAATGCTGTAAAAATTAAAATATAATACATTAATAAAATATTTTTTTGTCAAAAGAATTTTTATTTTGTACTTTACAAAATGGCTATTTTTTTTTATATTTTTTTTTGTAAATTTAAATAAAAAAATATTATAAATTATGATATTATAATCAAAAATTATATATAAAAAAAGAATAATTGCAAAATATATTAACTTGATCCAACGTCATAAGATTTTTTAGATCATGCTAGACTATCATGTATGTTCAGAAAGTAGGTTAGATCTTTTATAACTTTTAATATAATTAACATTTTATTAAAAAAAAAATTTTTAATAATTTATGCATTATTTGATTGTATAATATCATGTTTATTATAATTCTTTTTATTAAAAAATGTATTATTTTTTTAATTTTTTCTAATTTTAAATAGCCAGTTAATAAAACTTTTTATACTAAAATGATTAATGGATCAATAACAATATTAGGACAAATACTTATTGAGTTTCAAAAATTTTAATTCATAGAGTTAATATGTAGTGCAGATGTGGTATATTATTTAATTGTGCTATTTAGTATATATATTCATATATTTACATATTATGTAAATGCTAAATGCTTGTAACTCAATAAATACTTTTCCTAAAATTATTATTAACGCATTCAATTTTTTGGTAAGAAAAGTTCTAAAAAGTATAAATTACTAAATATTACTTACATGATAATAATAGAAAATAATAACATATTTTTTTTTTTTACAGAATCAATAACAAAATTAAATTAGTTTTGTTTATAATGCAATATATTTTGAGTTTGTTACTTTTTGGTTTGGGCTTGAAAGCTCCTGGGATAATGACTGCAAGGGATTATTTTAGTTTAAATAACACATCTGATTTATTTTTAGATGTAAGTTAATTTATTTTTCTACTTAAATTTAGTTTTTTTAATAAATTAAGTATAAATATAACATGTTAAAATGTGCCATTTTTTTATTTAAAATTCAGTGAATTGATATTTCAGCTAGAAATATTTATATATTTTAATTTTCTTTTTTACTAGTCTATAGTATTTGTAGAAAAAAAATAACTATAAAAATAATTTAGACATAACTATTGTAATTAATTAAATATATGTTGTTCTGAATACTTCATGAGAGTTAAAATCATAAATTCTCATTTATAGTTATTACGCAAATATATATATATGTACAAACTATTACTTACCCTTGTTACATAGTAATTCTGTGTATTAAAATTCTTGTAATCCAATTAGTACTTCTAATTATTAGTTCTAAAATTGTTATTGACCCATTTAAATATTTAGAAAAAAAAACTTAAAAATAGCTATATTAAATTACTCAAAATAAAAAAGAAATATGCTTTTACAAGCATAGTCTAAAAGTCTTTTAAAAAAAAAATACGACAAAATGGTAATTTAAATAAAGTTATAAACTTACAGTAGATCTGTTCCACTCGATATATGATCATTTTTAACCTTATGAATTGTTTTATTATACATGCATTATAAATTCAAACTTACTTTATATAACTTGAAACTGTAACTTTTATTATAGATAACATTTTAAGTATATTTTTAATTTAAAAGTTAACTTACTCTTCTTCTTTCTCGCCTTAATCCCAACTACTAGGGATTAAAAGTTAACTTCATAAAAAAAATACAGTATTTCTTATTTGTGTGTGTGTTAAAATACACTAATATTATAATATCACTTAAAATAACAAAAAAAGAACTTTTAGCTATATGCCCATTCATTTTTCTAACCTCTACTCTTAATTGTAATAAACTAATACTATAATAAATAATATTTTATCTTATTTGTTTCTAAGTGTTTTTTAAACATAAGTATTTAATATTTTAAATTATCAAATGACACAAATTTTTGCAATAGTCCTTGATAATTTTTATCATAATATAAAGCTCTTAATAACTGAGTTTAATCGTTTAATAATAACTATGGTGACAAGTACTTAATTTATAAAAAATTTATCAGTACTTTTATTTTTTATTGGTTTTGTATTAAAAATATAGTTTAATAGAATATGTAAACTTAAAGTAAATTTTGGTTATGATTATATACAAAATAGTGTTCCATAATGAAAAACTCAAGACCATTTTTAGTGGCTGTAAAATATATTATTAATAATTGATTTTATATTTAGAATATTTTATAGTAATAACTAATGTATTATATTTTTTTCATAGTCAGATCATGCGGAAGAGCAATCTACATGGAGTAATTTCAAACGAAAGATTACAATACTTGCTCCATTTATATGGCCAAAAAAAAGTTTAACTTTACAAGTTCGTGTAATTCTATGTCTCTTACTAGTTGTTGCTGGTCGTATTGCTAATGTTTATGTTCCACTTTACAGTGGTAAAATAGGTGTGTGTTGTTACTTTATTGAAAAATGAAATCTAATTTAAAGTAAATATTTTATTTTTTAGTTGACAGCTTAACATCCAGTCCCCTTGTTTTCCGATGGGACTTGATCTTAATTTATGTTGGAATCAAATTTCTACAAGGTGGTCTAGGAATGGGTTTTATTAATAACTTGAGAAGCTTTTTATGGATTCGAGTTCAACAGTATACTAAACGTGAAGTTGAAGTAAATAATATTCATACACAAATTAAAATAAATTGATCTCGATGAAATAATTTTTATTTGTTGATATTTAGGTTTCTCTATTTAGGCATTTACATAGTCTTAGTCTTAAATGGCATTTAAGTCGTAAGACTGGTGAAGTATTACGTATTATGGATCGAGGAACTGATTCTACAAATCAATTGTTATCATTTATTTTCTTCAATATTGGTCCGACTATTATTGATATTTTAGTTGCAGTTGTATTTTTCCTATCTTATTTCAATTGGATGATGGGTACAATTGTGTTCATTACAATGATTTTATATATAGGTATATTTATATTTTTAATTGCTTTTAATAAAAGTAATATAAACAATTAACAAAAACTGAATTTTTGTTAAGCATTAACAATAATAATTACTGAATGGAGAACAAAATTTCAACGTCGTATGAATTTAGCTGATAATAATATGGAAGCACGTAGTGTTGACTCAATGTTAAATTTTGAAACTGTTAAATATTATGGAGCAGAAGAGTATGAAGTTCAAGCCTATAAAGAGGCTATTTTAATCTATCAGGTGCATAATATTCTTAAATTTTATATATAATAATTGATTAAATAATTTTTATATTATAAATGTAGAGTGAAGAATTTAAAACAATGGTATCTTTAGCTATTCTTAATACAATGCAAAATATTATTGTTTGTATTGGATTATTAGCTGGGTCTTTACTCAGTGTTCATTTTGTTGTTGACCTCAAACAATTAACAGTTGGTGAATATGTTTTATTTACTGTATATATTATTCAATTATATGGACCTTTAAACTATTTTGGTACATTTTATAGGTAAATATGTTTTAGATCATATATACAATTACAATAATCTTAATAATATGGATGTATTTTTTATTATAATAGATATAAAATTATTTTTTTTAATAACTTAACTGATCTTTTCTTCTTATATAGAGCAATTCAAAAGAACTTTGTTGACATGGAAAATATGTTTGATCTAATGAATGTAAAACCAGATATTGCAGATGCTCCTAATGCATGTGATATAGCACTAAAAGGTGGTCAAGTAGAATTTCGTAACGTGGTGTTTTCTTATCAACCAGACCGACCAGTATTAAAAAATGTATCATTCATAGTTCCATCAGGCAAAACATTAGCTTTAGTTGGGCCATCAGGTAGCGGAAAAACAACCATTGTACGCCTATTATTTAGATTTTATGATGCTGATTCTGGGTCAATATTAATTGATAACCAAAATATTCAAACCATTACTCAATCATCTCTTAGAAAAGCTATTGGAGTTGTTCCTCAAGACACAGTATTGTTCAATAATAGTATTAAGTAAGTTAATAGTAAGTAATAGTTTTTGTAATGAATTTTATTATTAAAATATGTCACTTTCAGTATAAAATTTCTTTACAAAAATATTTTAATAATTCCATTATTCGTTAATTCCTATTATAATATTATAGGTTTAATATTCAATATGGAAGAGTAGATTCTAATGATGCTGAAGTTATAAATTCTGCAATGGCAGCTGATATCCATGATAGAATTATGAAATTTCCAGAACTTTACGAAACTCAAGTTAAAAATTAAATTGAAGTTGCTTGTGCAACAAAATTATTATAAAAATTTTTTTAGGTTGGAGAAAGAGGTTTGAAACTTAGTGGTGGAGAAAAACAACGAGTTGCTATTGCTAGAACTTTACTTAAATCCCCAGCTATTGTACTTCTTGATGAAGCTACAAGTGCTTTAGATACTAAAACAGAACGACAAATTCAAGTACATTTTTTGAAATATTGCAGTAGAATATTTTTAATTTTAAATATTTTTAGGCTGCGTTAGCTCAAGTATGTACAAATAGAACTACAATAATTGTAGCTCATAGATTGTCAACAGTAATTCATGCCGATGAAATAATAGTATTAAAAGATGGAGAAATTTTTGAAAGAGGAAGGTAATATTTTTTTTTTAAATATTAAATACTCAATAGTACCAAATATATAATAGAATAATTTTTTTCACCAACTCCATTTTAAACCTAAAAAAAAATTATAAAATTAAAAGCTAGAAGGATTAAGGAAATTTTATAATCTAATAACTTTTTATTCGGTATTGAGTATAAGGTAGTAATTAATCTCAGATATATTTCAATATAATAATCTGGCAATCCTCTTTTATAATTTTTTATTAATAACAATAGTAAAAGATTTTTTCTTGGTTTTCATTATTGGCTAAATATAAAATCTAATTTTGCATTGAAATAAAGGGAAAAAATACTGTGATGCGTATCTGATAAGCTATAGTAAACTATAGGTATATAGGTATGTACTTTTTTTTTTTTTTTTATGTAAACATAAAATTAAAGATAATGCAATTTATTTTAAGATATTAAAAAAAAAACTATCTGAAAACTTAATGTCTAGAATTATTACCATTTAATACAAAAGTCATGCAATTTTTGATAAAAATGGATGATTTTAATGTTCAAAATTAAATTAAATTATAATTATTAATCGAATATTATATAATATTTAAAAAAAATTTTTTAATTTGTTTCAAATACACATCAAATCCTTTTTAGCAGTGATTTAAATCACTCTCAATATATCAATCAATACTAATAGAACAAATGTTTTGACATTGCCTACTGTACTTTACTTTAATTATTCATAAATTAGTAAAAAAAAATTTTCGAAATTTTGGAAATTGCTTAGTTGTTTCGAGTTAGTGTGATTAAAAAAAAAAAATTAAGTCAGAATTTAATTTATTTTGAATTCTTACTCTTAGTTGACATGCTTTTTATATTTCCAAAAAAATGCTTTCTATTTATATGAATCATATCAAATTCAGTATAAAAATTAAAGACAATAACAATTTATATTATTATGCAATTTCTTATTTACAAAAACCAGGAAAATAAAAAATTTTATAAAGATATGAAAATTTAGAATATTGATCATTAATTAAACTAATTAATTGTTTTTTTTTTTAATTTCTAGACATGATGATCTGATAGATAGAAATGGGTTGTATGCAGATATGTGGTCAGAACAACTAAAATCTAGCAATACTATGACACCAAATAATACTTCTACCAATTTAAGCAATAGTGAAAATGATTTGCCTGTGTCAAACATTTAAAGATTTAAAAAAAATAGAAGTTTGAGTAAAGTATAATTTTTTAAGGGAAATTCAATCATCCAAGTTATATTTTAACTTTCTAGCATTTTCTTGTGTTAAAAAATAACACAAATGTAATATCTTTAGTTGTCTAATTTTTATCCATTTATTTTTTTTAATTTTATTTTGATGTGTTTTACTTTTATATGTTGGTGAAAAATTATTTACCACTTATAAGTTTATTACGTAAAAGGTAATTTATTTTTTAAATACTTTTAATATTACTTTTATCTGAAATCACTATTATTATTTCTCTGTATATCAACATTTTCCATATATAATAATAATTTTATAATGTCCGTAGCCTTTAAATTATTCTTAATATTATTGCATTGATACATTTCTTAACTGATATTTTATATACAATTTTTTTAACATTATATTGTTAAAGTGATAATTCACTATTCAATTTTGTGTAAAAACTTTGTTAAGTTAGTTTATTTTATTCAGTTTGTTTTCATAGTTTATAGCTATAAAGTTATATGGTTCAATAATGTGCAAATTGAATATATAACCATGTTATTAAAATGTTTGACTATAATTGTTAGATGTAAACATAATAAGTTCTTATTACAATTTAAATTATTAAATTATTATTACATTATTAGCTCAATACTATAAGATAAATGCATCTTAAAATATAGACCTAATAACTTCTATAATTAATGATTGTTATGTAGACAGAATTTTTTATATTTAATAGAAAATAAACACTAACAATAATTAACATATAACTTGACTAAATAAGTTTATGATGCATGAAAATTCACAAATTTTTTTTAATTTTTTTTTTTTAACCAAAAAATTAATTTTAAAATTTTATATACTCTAGATTATAAATAAAATCTTCTTTCAAGGATCACTATAAAAGCTTTAAATTTTTTCAATGTAGTATGATAACATTTTAACACAACTTATTTTTAACCTTATACTAAAGAATGCATTTTTATTTCAATTGTTTTTTAGTAATTTGTTTTAAGAATTCATTGGTATTTTGACTAAAAATTGAAACTTTAAAAATTCACTAGTTTTAAAAATCAGTACAAATACATTAAGTAGCCATAAAAAAATTAGTTTAGAAATTCATAAAAGTTCATCTATTTAATGAAGCTATAGAAATGGGCAATTTAAATAAAATTGCCCAAATTTTAAGAAGCAATGGAAATGCATATATTTTAAAGAAGCTATAGAAATACACAATTTAATAATCAATAGAAATGTACAAATTTAAGGGAGCCATTTAAATGCACACATTTTAATACTAATAGAAATAAATAAACAAAAACATTATGAATTCATTTAGATTACAAACATATTCATGAATAGTACAGATATAAGAGTAATAATTTGAAGTCGTGTAACCGTTTATTAAAAAGTATAATGAAAAGTTACAAGAGAAAAAATGAAATGAGAATTCTCATGTATATTTTAGAATTACTTAAGGAGCACAAAAAAATATTTTACAATTTTTTTTAAAATAATATGGAGTTTAAAAATTTCTTAATGAATAAATTTTTTTTTATCACTTGATAATTAAAAGGTAACAAATTTTAGGACATAAATGAATTAGAAATGCACTTATTACTTAGTTACCTATAGTATTTGTTGATGATATTAAATAATTTTTTTTTAAGTTTTCTCAACATACTATTAAGTCCTCTAAAATTTTATATATTTAGCTTGATATTAGCTTCGATGCGAAGCTTAGAAAGTATTAATTTTACCATGTGTTTATTATTATTTTTTTTTTTTTTTTGTGTATCACTATTTTTTTTCTGCTCTCACTGGACCGATTATTTTCAAAGATCACAAATCTTATCTAGTTGAAGACATTACCATCGAAAATTTTTCAATTTTCCCTCGTTCACCATAAATGGTAGAAATCCCCCCAAAAAAACGATTTTTAAAATCAGTAAATTTTGTCATTTATTTCACTTTTTTTTCTTAAAACATCCATAACTTTTTGAAAAATAAACAAATCAACATAATTTTTTTTTATACTAAAACCTTAGATATTTCCCTTTCATTTGATATCATTTTTTTGAAAATTTAACATTTAACCTGCTCATGAGAGGGGATTTAAAATAGCAACTTTTTTACAAAAACTAACTTTTTCAACTTAATTTTTGAAAATGTTCCGGAAATACTGCGTCCTTTAAACATATATCAAATCAAAGGTTATGTTATATACTATCAAATGAAAAAAAAAAATTTGTCCCGACATCTTATCTTCTATGTGCAAATGGCTGTCGAAAATTTAAAAAAAAATGTAATGTTTGCGATAAAAATTACATTTTATCGGGATGTTTTTTGTACTTAAAACTGCCATAATTTTCAAAAATGAACAAATAAAAATAATATTTTTTTGTATTGAAACCTTAGATATTTCCCTTTCATTTGATATAATTTTTTTTGAAAATCTAACACTTATTCTGCTCACTGGGGGGATTTAAAATAGTAACATTTTTACAAAAAATAACTTTTTCAACTTAATTTTTGAAACTTGATTGTATAAAATTACAAAAAAATATTAAAAATGTTGTTTTATGGTGTCATAGTAATAGACTTTCTATAAACATAAATAAGTGTTTTAACATTTCTTTTTTTTCAAACTAAAACTCAAATTAAATTACATTATACAACTGATAAGATTCCTCTTCAATCGGTTAATCTTGTTAAAGACCTATGTATTTATTGGGAAGACACCTTTGCCACGAACTGATAATGCTCCGACATTTACATACTTCGACATTTGACAAAGTAGTAATTGTTACGAACATCTGGTACTCCGACTATCTGATACCATAGGTTACCAAAATTACAACGGATTTCACTCGGACATTAAATTAAAAAAATGAGACAGTAAAAACTCCGACATTATCAATAGTTTGATTATGCATCGAAAGTTATATTATATTTCGATTGTATTATTAGTAATAGGGCGCATCGATCGTATATGTTGCAACGTCAGGGTCACGTGGCTACAGAAACACTACATTATTAAATTAATTATTATTATTAATTATATTGTAAAATTTAAATTAAAATGTTCTATTCAATTAGCAATTATTTGCTACTATAGTTATTATACAATAATATACATTTCGCTTATTATTTTCTGGTACAATTTCTCACATTTGACATATGTTATTAATACTCGAATGATAATAGTCATTCATTAAGTAACATAAAATTAATAGTGTTTAATACAAATGTACATTTTTGAAAAAGTTTTCTCTATTGTTAGAATATATATTTATCTTTGAGAATTTTATTTTTTAATTATCCAATAATTACAAAATATTTTCATCAAATCAAAAAACTGTTAGTTAACTGTTTTTTTAGTTGATCCACAAAGTTGTATCTAACCATAACTTATTTTTTAACATCTAAGAGGTCTATTAGAAAACTAATTTTNTTTTTAACATCTAAGAGATCCATTTGAAAACTAATTTTTCTATAACAAATATGTGCTGTAAAAATTGTCATGTGCAATTTTATTAGTGATTAATTCCTAAGTGTGTAATATTAAAAAATAATGACTAATATAAACATAAAATTGTTAATATTTGTACAATATAAAATTGGGTGTTCTATGTCCAATTTGATAATATCTTATTATCCAATAATTTTGGATGTAGTGCAATAGGACCTCAAGGTTAAAAAAGAAATTTCTTCCAAGTGTTCCTCATCATTCTTGGGAATGACTGAATTTTTTCCTGTGCTGCATTAGGATATCTAAGTATAAAATAACACAGTATATCCTACTTCAATGCAGTAATTGTTGAACACATTTTTTTTAGTCTTATTACTTTCTGGAAGTTTCTTCCAATAGGTTTTTGTTGACTCAGTAGATTATGATTAATTTTTCTTTCAGCAATTTTAATTGAAAATTAATTACTAAAATTATTTTTAACTTATATTAAAAAAATTAAAATAGTATTAAACTGTGTAAGTTTTGCTACAAGGTCTAATATGAGTTATGCTAAGAATTAGTAAATTTTGGTTATATATAAGTAGAATTAATTTTTTCTTATTTAAAAATTCTGTGTGTCATCTAAAAGTAAAAATATATTAACTCATCGTTAAACAATTTTAATTTTGTGACATGAGTTTATAAAACTTGAGATTATAAATCAATGTTAAATTATATNTTTGTGACATGAGTTTTATAATCAATGTTAAATTATAAGTAAAACCATTATAATCTCCAGTGGTGCTCAAAAAAAAGTTAAAAATATTAAGGAGTAAAAAATTATTTATTTAAAGTTCTTTTTCTTTAAAATCTAATTTACATTTATTGAAATCAGTTTGAAAAAAAATATCTGAATAGTTTTTTCTTTTTTTAATAATAATTAAATTTGTTGGACAATTTTCTCAGTGGTCCAGCGAAAAAAAAAATCTTAAATTTAACGAGGGCCTTCTGAGCCAGGGCGACACTACAAAAAGATGATTATTTTACCAATGTTTTCATCTTGTTAGCTTAACGTGTATCCTGTAAATACAAATGTATTGTTCTATAAATACAAAATGAAGTTTTTTTAAAAATTTGAATTCATTTTATATGTACTTTTTAGAATATGAAAGCATATTCCTAAAAAATAAAAATTAATTTTCAAAATAAAATCACGTAATGTAATGTATTATGTTTTGTAAAAATGTAATTTTACATATATATGTGCTATAAAAAAAGTTGTACAGTTTCAATATTACATTATTATATTTGATTTCCATTTAATGAGAAAAAATGAATAATTATTTGATTATCAATTATGATTATAAATTAAAATATTTAACTCTATACGTATATTTGACAAAACTTCAAATAATCATAATGCAAATGAAAAAAAACTCAACCATTATTTAATGAATTGACTGCATATTTTTAATCGAGTTAGTTAAGTTTAAAACTAATTATCTTAACAGAAGATATAAGTAAGTTTATGATTAATCATAAACTATTGTCCACTGTTAACTTATAACTGCCTTGTGTTTACTTAATTTGACTAGAGAGTAGGAGTATTGCAACAAAATATTTGGGAACTCTAATTACACAATTTTTTTCCTAATCTAAAAAATATTTCTATACAACGAGAAATACAAATTAATTCATTTTCGGTATATTCTATAGCAGAATTTTAGGAGACAAAGCCCCCTCAAGTCTCTCCAGATAGCGGTCAAATCCAAACTGGACTGAATTAATTTCGTTGGCCACCTTTGAACAATGAAATGATATTAAATCATATTTTTGTTTGATTTCATATGAGACTAATTGTAATGACAGTTTTAGAGAATGGGATACCGAATATCATTATAAACACATCTGTTTAATGACGAATCCTATCATCAGTGAAACGTACCCCTATATTTTTTAACTAAACTAATTAAATGTTATAATATTAATGTGCTTATAATGTTATAATAAGCACTAATGAGGAGAGGCAAAAAAGATTTTACGTCTGAAAATTGGAATCGCTCTTCTTTACCCTCCAAAAAAAAAATTTAAGGGCTCACACCAGTTATGTAACGGGTTGTTTTAGTTCAAAGCCCCCTTTCTTACCTTTATGTACCTATTTTATCAAAAGTAGGATACATTTCGGGGATCTTATTGTAATAATTATTTGTTAATAGACAGTAATCAATTATAACGCTATTTTATTATATTTATTAATTAGTGATAAGAGTTATGTTTTTCCATCAGATAATATATTACTACGATATTCATCTACTCCGAAATTTGATATTTTAATCGATTTCGCGAATAATCGATATTCGGAGCTAATTTCATTCGGAACAATCAATTAATAGTCCTATTCGGAGTATTCATCGTCGTAGTAAAATCCAAATTTTTGTAACCAGTTATTCGTAGTAATTGTTGTCGGAGTAAATGTATTCGGAGGATTTTTTTACAGTGTCGGGGAGTAAATGAATGTCGGGGCATCATCAGTTCGTAGCAATCTCCGTAACCCGAATTACGTACGTTGCCAACTGAAAAAATAAAATTTACGCCCTATAGTTTATATAGGTTGATTCTAAAAAGTAATTTATAGCTGATAAATCATAAAGTGAACGTAACTAAAAAAAAAATGTTTTCCCATTATAGTTATTATTTTTGCGAATAATCGAGTGGTTTATGATAAACCGATCACACTGTATACTACAAATTATATTCGATAGAAAACTGTGCATTTTTATACCACCTTACTGATAATTTTTGATGAGCTAATTTGTCATTTCAGGCTAAGTTTTATCTATGCTTTATCATCTATTAGACTAAATAAATATTTACATTAAAAGGCAGCAATTAGTTAAATGCTTACAGTTTACAGCGGCACAATGATTATATCCGACACTGCGTAAATCGTTGAACGGTTATATATGTTAGTGTATTAGATATAAATAAATATTTACTAGGCAAGTAAGTCGAGAATAATTCCGATTCGAATCACTTTCACGTGAGCGTTAGCAGAAATTGCAAAGTGTAAAATGAAGTTTATACATGTGGATAGGTGACTTTGTAATTAAAATTACAAATCATAATATCGAAAAGTCTGTACTTGGATCCTAATTCGTTTGTTTTTCTTACGTTGACACTTAAACGGTGTATTCTATTAGGCCTGTTGTGGTTTCGGACTAATGGCGGCTGTTTCAAAAGATTTAAACGAGAGAGTTCTTTAGAACACGCCACTCGGTGAACGAGCTCTTGTGCGGAGTTGAGAATGAAAAAAGGTGTTGGTCTTTTCGGTGGCGGCGTTTCCACAATGAATAGAGTGTATTTCGTAGTACACATAATACTAATAATGATAATATTATAAACGAAATGAGATTAAAAAAAAAAAAAAAAAAGAAATTAGAAATCCGTCCATCTAGATTTATACCTGATAATAATGTTATTATCGTCGTCATAGTAGAATAGTACTACGTGTGTGTATAAGCTAATAGACAAATACGTCTTGGCGGGTAAAAAATAAAAAAAAATATTAGGTACACATTATGATAATACATAATATAATGTAGGCACTGTGTCACCGCCGCCGTACCTGATGTAGTACCCCACTAACGAGTCGGCTGCGGCAAACAGTCTTTGATCTTACGCTCAAACTCCGCCCTGGACGAGCAGTTCACCGCCGACACAAACGTACGCTCGGTGGTGATCTCTGAGAAGGCGGTGGCGGTGGGGTATTTTCTTTGCCCCCGCGGTGGTGTCTGCGAGTGTACATCCGCACAGTTTCACGCACAGTGTCCGCATCCGCCGCCTCTCGCGTTACGTTGTATTCGATATTACCCGCACTCATACGTACATATTTCTACCCTTCATCGATTTCACCATTTTCCACAGAACATCATGACCGTTTCCCGAACACTTTGGGTNTGGCGGTGGGGTATTTTCTTTGCCCCCGCGGTGGTGTCTGCGAGTGTACATCCGCACAGTTTCACGCACAGTGTCCGCATCCGACGCCTCTCGCGTTACGTCGTATTCGATATAACCCGCACTCATACGTACATATTTCTACCCTTCATCGATTTCACCGTTTTCCACAGAACATCATGACCGTTTCCCGAACACTTTGGGCGATGGCCATCGTCACCTTCGTAATAGTCACGGTCGCTGGCGCCCAAGTTCGGTCGCCGTCAAGTTTAATATACGAGTTGGCTGACTTGGCGTTCTCCCGACTGTTGGCCCATAATTGTTACGAAGCGTACGACCCGGAAAAGTGCAACGAGCTTACCGACTTATCGGCTAAAGACGTGCGCTTATACTTCGGTGGCCTACTGCCCAACGACACCGTGATGGCTGTGCTTCCGGATGGAGATGCTCAGCTTAACGGAAAATCGCACGATGCTTTCCTAGTACTCGATCCATTCCCTGCATACAAGTTCGGTCATCCCATGTTCATGTTTTACGTGGACACCAGTGTACCTCTCCGGAAGTGCGAAGATACTGAAGGCATCTACTCCAGTAAGTATATCGCTGCGTTTTATGTTTTATTGGAAGGCCAACTATTTGATTTAAACGAGTTATAATAATTATAATTCGTAAAAAATAATTACTATTCTTCTTTGTTAAACATATTGTTTCTTTTGCATCTATCCTAATAAAAAAACATTTATCTTCTTGTCGTAACATTAAGGGACATTGTTATATTATTAAAAATCTCATGTAAATATCAAAATTCATATCTAATTATTGCGAAAAATCATTCATTCGCGTATTACTTTTCTAAGAAAAGGTAATTATGTATATTGAGTATGATGTATTAACATCGGGTAACTTAAGTAACACTTTGTATTAAAATCATTCATCGATTAGATGCCAAGGGTATTGGGATACTCAATATACACTAAATCTACACAATAATTTTGCTATCTAATCTTTAATTTTTTTATGTAATGCCGCCAAACTGTTTAGTAACCAAATAAAAATAAGAAGTTTATACAAACATAACACAAAAACGAATAAAAATAAATTATCACGCTTTCGAATGTTTGTTATTAAGTCTATTGCGTAGACCTTATTTGATAAAATCATTTTTTATTCATATTTAACGATGTTTAGTTAACAACCATAAGGATATTTTCCTGGCATATAGCAACGAGGCCATTTATTTATCTTCGGGTGAATAAATTAATTTACAAATTAATAAATTTTTATTTGTCAAAATGTTATTCATCTTAAAATTATTAGAATAATTCTAAAATTGCGAAAATCTTTTAGTTTGTCCGCTTGGTCCTAGAAAATATATAGTCCATTTTATATGTCTTCTATTACAGCAGACTTTAAATATTTAATTTTGAATAACTGATTTGTTATCATGAAACTATTATTTATTCTGATTAGAAATTAAACGAATATCCTTTTTGGACTATTAAATATAAAAAGCGAGCTCGTGGTTTCGTGATGTATTTAAAGGAGTCGCCAGGGGACTCTGACAACCCCTTGAGAAAGTGTTGTACGCAATTATTTTTACCTTATTTTTTTTTATGTAACGTATCTTTTCATATCGTAATACAACGACTAAAAAAATTATCATTAACTTTGTAAATTTACCAAATAAGTTTTAAAAATATATTTGAGAGTCCAGGATAAATTATCACGAGCCCACTTTTTTCTTTAAAAAAGTAGATGGCTGGGGCAGATACACATTTAGTGTCATAAACTATAGTATTATTATTATCATTATTATCTACCAGATATGATTTCCCCGAGGGGGCCATTTTTTTACGTGATGAGTAAATAATGAAAAAGTCATTAAATTAAGCTATTAATAAAACATACCTCTTTAAAAAAGTCCTGTGTACCTGCATAGCCTTCTTAGAATGTACACTGCTGACTGAACCTTGATCAACTCACCAATCACACATACCAACATACTATTTATCTAAGTTTTATATTTATGTTGTCCAAATAAAATGTTGACATTTTGAAGAGAACATTTGTTTTCCAATTATCTAACACTTGTGCAGATTTATTGATTTATCTGAATATAAAAAATGTTTTATATTATAATAACATTTTACTAAATGATAAATATTTATAAATCTTTCGTAGAAATATTGAAAATCGCACTTCTGCACAAGACTTGTATCTTGAAGGTTAAAAATGGTTCACAAACTTAAAAATTATATGAGAATTAAGAGTTTGCTTATTTTTTTTGTATTCTCGCTAAACCTATCGACTAAATTAGACCTAATTGAACTTGGTGCCTGGCGAAATTTGTTTTTTATACTTAGCTAAAATTATTTATAAGTCGGATTTAGTTTTTATAATGAGCCGTTTACCGTTACCATATTTTTCCGTCCTCGTAAATAAACGTAGTGCAAACGGTTTTGGAAAATGGATGTGTTAAGCGAACGTTTTATTGATGTTCCCTTCATTTTGTGTACAAAATAAAATATATTGTTGTAATCCAATAACAATGTACTATTATATTCATAAAAAATTGAAGAATCTCGTAGTAGTATTTTAATAGCGTTTTTTTCCCACCGGCTGTCAGTGATCGGCAAAGCTCAAAGAGACTACGACGGCGGCGGGTCGGTGGGTGTGTGGCGCACGTTGGCGCGAGCGCGGGGGGTTAGCCACGAGCCAACAGGTTTTTGATGTTTACCGCTGCCCGAGCCCTCGTCTTTGTCGGCCAACGCCGCCGCCACGCATTGGCTACGTCTCTGTTTTTACTGATCACCACTACGCCGACGACATATTATACTATACACGCGCACCTGCTGCCGCCACCGCTGTTCCAGCTCCCGTCAGCGGTTGCCGTTTTTGCTCCTGATCCCGACCGCCACCATCGATGGCTCCCCTCGCGTGTGTTCCCACCGTTTACACATTATTGCCGTTTCCCACCTCCTATGAATAAACTTATAGCCTCTTACTAGGCCTTACGCAAGTAGGTTGGCTATAAATGAGAAACTGCTATCATCAACATTAGGATACCACTTATTTTACACATTTTTTAATACTTCTTTTAGTATCTTTTTTTGTTCCTATTAGTACAAAAATGTTTAAAGTCTACTCAATCAGAGGCTATCTTATGCATTTGAATTTATCAACTACACATTTATTTTGTGAGTGGGTATCAATTAAATTAATTAAAGATTAATTTTTAACCCTTAAAAAAACAATTAAAATTTTATAATTGCCAAAAATTCTCCTAGTGCGTTATGTATAGAAATATTTATAATAAATGGACTTCATCATTATATATAACAATTATGTGTGACTTATTTTAAAACTGTTGAAAAACTATGCAAAATTTACAATGTGATATATACATTGTAAACTTAATTTTGTCTAATATTTTTATCTTGTTATAAAGTCTAAAAATTCTAATTAAAATTTATAAGTTTATTATAAGAGTTTGATAACATCAATTAAAGTTCATTTAAATGATACAGTAAAAAACTTTACTAACGGATTCATAATTCCTTCAATTGGTAAAGGACTGAAATATAGAAGTAAAGAAAATTTACTTTCAGTGTGACTATATCGGATTTGCTATACAAGAAGCTGATATTTATTAGATAAAATCTAAAAAATCTATTCAAGTAAAAAAATGTTTCTAACTAAAAAAATTGCTTGAACAACGTAAAAATTTTGGTTAAAAATAAATAATATTAAAAAACAGGAAAATTTTGCAAATTATTTCAATTATTTGTTTGATATTTATTTAAAAAATAGTAGAACACCCTATAAAAAGTAATTTTTGAAATATTTTAAATTCAAATTTAAAAAAAAATATAGCTTATTAAATTGATTATTGGAATAAATGTCCAAATTTTCTTAAAACAAGTTTAAATCATTCACCTTATTTATTACCCATTGATAAATTGGTTTATTTATAAAATATATTATATTAGTTTGAGAAGAATAAATAAAAAAATGCTCTAGTTAATTAAGGTTATTATATTTTTAAATAAAAATATTTAAAATAATTCTTTTTTAAATAGTTAATGTTACACTCAGAATTTTTGAGTTAAGAATGAAATATTGTACATTCATTCAAAAGGATATTTATTTTAATATCACTTAATAGAAATTATTACAATATTAGATTGTTAAAGAATGTATTTTTTTTTTAGTTTGATGTAATGTCAACTATTTTAATTGAAGCTTTCTAATTATTAAAAAAATAATAGTAAATCTTTGGCAAATATTAAATTTAAAAAATCGTTTAAAAAGGGTTAAAAATTATTTTTAAATTAATTTAATTGATAACCATTTTCGAAATAAATGTATGTTAAATTCAAATGCATAAGATAGCCTTATTTTTTATACTATTTGATTTACTTGTTTTGTAATTAAAAATAAATAAAAAATTTCGTTAAAATCGAGTGTACGTGAATTCTTTTCGTATTTTCTTCGGTTTTTTTTATTTCTGTACCATTTTAAGTATTAGTTTTGGTAGAAAATAAAAGGAACACTTTTTCTAAAGCCTATTAATTCTTAATTTCAATGCGAAACTTAAAAGGTGTCTTTGGGATGCACTGAGACATAAAACTTCTTAATTGTTACACATAACGGTTTTAACATTAGTTTGTGAAATATTTAAAATATCTTCTGCAGTATTTGTTTTCAACTGTTAAAATTAAGTCAAGTGTTTCAGTAAAATAACATTCTCGGTGACTTGAATTCCTTATTTTAGCCAATCATAAAACAAACCTTTATAAATGGAATTAGGCCTAATGATCTAATTAAACTTATGATAATTAAATCACAAAAGGAATTATAACTATAAATTATGTTTTATTTGATCAAATGTCGTTGACCGTTTATTTTTGTGTACAAAATGCCTTGTCATGTTCGTCTAGACACGTGATTTATTATTCATGAATAATTACTTTGCAATTGATCCAAATAACAAAGACTGTCCAGATAACTTATCAATATTCGACTAGACGATCTATTAAATTGTTGTTTGAATAGTTATGAAATTCTTACACGAAAAATAGTAATGAATTAAATATAATGTATCAACATTGAAAATAATTGTCTGATAATCCATACAGTAGGGAATATGCTTCATTTTAAGGCATTCGGATAAAAATGTTAAAATAGAATTTTTTTTAGTGCATTTTAACAAAAAAAATTTTAAATAATAATAATTATTCTTTCTAATTTTACTCAATAATTATTATTGGGTACAAAAACCTAACAATACATACCTAATTACGTATTACGCGTATTTTAGCTCGAAAATTATACGAATTAACTACATCAAATATTTTTTCTACTGAGGTTTAAATTATTGTTGAATTATATTTATATTCCAATAATATTTTTAAATTTGATCGATGTGTTTCAATTCATATTTTTGAAAATCACAATCCAAATACGACTAAAACAAATGATCGTGTTAAGTTGTACAAAGCAAGTCCTTGGGTAGGTTTAGGTAATTTATTTCAGGCCCTGGACTTAATTAAGTACTTAATGTGTTTCACGTTTTTTTCAGCTTATATAATAAGTAAATAAAATAAGGTGGTTATTTTCGAACGCGTAACAATACTTTTGACTTTTATAATGTGAACAATACATTGTGACACAATGCATACAGAATTTTTAATTAAAAAACTATGATGCCGTTATCATCACGTACTAACCAGTACTGATCATAACATGGTTAATTTAAGTATATTTGTGAGTAAAATATTTTTAATAACATCAATTCCTTTAAAGGAATAATCACTAAGATAAAAATAATTTGATTAACAACAATTATTATGAAAGACGAAGAAAACAAACAGTATTCGATTTCAAAAACGTATGTATCAAACGTGTTAATAAAAGCAAAAAAGTTTGAACATTTTAGAGGTGAAACTCTCAAATATTACATTGAAAAGCGGCCACTAAAATTAAAATGTAAAGTTTACAATATTTACCATCAAGACGATAAACGAAACCTTATAAATGCCATTTAGACTATCCCTAAAGTGTTTTGTTATTTGATACGAAACTCTTTACCGCAACAGTAAAAATTGATTTATTTTTCTATTACGTTGTCAATGTATACATTGAAAACTTAGATAAATGTAAACAATTGAGTTGTACTGTCATATCCTCAAATTTAATTTCATTGTTTCATTGAATAGCTTATTATTTTATTAAGAAAAAATGTATTTATTTTATTGTGGAAAAATATTAAGTTAATATTTTAAATACCGTTCGGTTATGTTTTTAAACGATATTAAATACAATCAGTAACAAATTTTGGAATACCAGCAACTAAATTAAATGCGAACTATGGTCGCAGTCGAACGGTTACTTAAAGGTGTATAATCCTGATGAGTTTTGTGTTTTTATAATTAATTTCTGAGGTCACTCCTTAGAGCAGTATCGTTTATGTATATTGGCTGATCATTTTTAATAGAAGTCAATTACCAAAAGTAGTTTCGCCGTGTCTCGAACTCAATTACGTGTCAAGGTTTTGTGTATAGTAAATGGCATCCCTCACGACCCGAAGATTTCGTAAAGAACTTGATTTTAACTTTTGCTCCACAACACAACTACCGGTTTTTTTTTTTTAATTTCACATAAATAATTCTTTTTTATTTTATATAACGTCTTATATGTGCTTTTGTACTGCCACCGAATCAGCGATACGTACACTAGACGTCTATACACAAAACTAACACCCCCATTGATCTTACACGCAAACTTATATTAAGCGTTTCTAATGCTTACATGTTGTGTACGGTTGACTAAAAGTGTAAAAAATAATATGGAGAAAAAAAAAGAACCAGTTTGGTTACCCTTGAAATAATAATAGAAAGGTGGGATGTAGTGTACTCTAATTGTTTAGTGTGTAATTCCTTTTGAACGGGCTGCGATGCCGCTTCTTTGATGTTTACCGCCGACAGAAGCTAGTTGGGTGGGTACGAAGCGACGGCTTAGATCCAACATTAACGTCACGGAAATCACCTGCTCATCACTAAAGTGTCACACTGAATGCAATAGATCCGATCGTTTTCATCAATTTTCTCCCATTTAACCGCCTTTAGTTAGAGTTTTTTATGTACTTAGGGCGGACTCATCAAACGAATGTAAGGAATCGTATACGCGGTCTTACTAAATCAGAATTTTACATTAAATTTCTCTGCAACATTGTTATTTAAATTTTTTTGGACAAAATTGTCATTGACCAATACAAGTTATAGCAAAATCCTAATACTTTAATCAAACAATAAAATAGATCCGTGAATATCGTAAATTTCGAGTTATAACATTTCAATTGTATTAAGCGTGTAAGGTGATCAAGTTCACATAAGCTGCTCTGTAATGCCTGTCTTTACTCGTATCACAAATTAATGATATGACTTCTTTGTAGTTCGTACACTAAATGCAATCAAATTTCATTAATTTGTATTTATCGAATACTCAATATGTTAATCTCGAGGATTTAGTTAGGCAACATATTATACATATATAACTGAGATCAAATACAAACGATTGTTAGACTTGCCCTGCGTACTTTACAAAACAAGTAGTCTGTGTTATGCCATAAATAAAATACACACGTGTATTTAATTTATGATTACACACGGAACTCTTCGAATGAAAATAATACAATTAAAAAAAACGTATATAATTGATAATTCCATACCAAATGCAACCTAAAATTACAATTAATTAACAGATATACTACAGGGCGAAAAAAACGTTCGATTATTTTTTCTCGGTGTAAATTTTTAGACGTGCTGAGAGCATATTTAACGCGACCGTTAATGTATTTTTTACAGCACTTGGTGATAACACGACGGTGTGCGTGCAGATGGTCCGAAGCCGGTGGTGTAACGAAAGGCCAATGACATCGTCGTGGGACTGTCAGGTGAAGTTTTTACCTCTAGTGGTACCCACGCGGAGCAACCGCCGCCAAGCCGATAATGTGCTCAGTTGTGTAGACCACAAGGACACGTTCCTGATGAACTGTCCGCGACTCCGTGACGACGGCGCCGAGTTGTCTGATGAATGCAATCACCTGAAAACCAACACAAGAGGCTGCGACAAAGGCAACTACAAATGTTCAACACACAAACCCACTAACCAGGTAAATAATACCGACAGTAACTATTAAAAACTGAGCTCGCCTTATTTGATTGAAACATTATCGCATAAAAATAAGTTTGTTATGAATTCAAAGTATTTTTTTATCTACTGTTATTTGTCTATACTATAATTCGAATTATCGAGTTTAACATGATATGTATGAATAGGCTGTGATGTTATTTGGCGGTTGGAATAGAAACACTGCCGATTTTGTTTCCATGTATGATTTGACATCGCTCAGGGACAAATTGGTCTCGTGGGGTTTTTCTGTAAACAACATTCGAACATTTTTCGCTAACGGCATGGGCACCGGAATCGACGACGGTAAGTTCACAGCAGTGCACTGCAATCAATTTTTATTGTAAATTCATATGATTAACACTATTTTTCTTATAGACGGCACCGAACATTCGACTTCCATTAGCAATGTAGAACCAGCTACTAAGTTGAACATTCGGAGATATGTCAAAGGCATTTGTTCGACGCCCAGGTGTGCTGATACGTTTTTCTTGTATTTGTCAAGTCCTACCAAAAGGGATGGAAACACATTACTTTGGGATTCCAACGGAAACGGAATTGTAAGTTATGTATTGAATAAAAATTGTAATAGGACAAAGAAAATAATAATTTCACAAGTTTTAAACCAAAAATGTATTTTTTTTTAATCATAATAATGTACACAAAACTTTTATGTATATTGAGAAATTTTAATGAACAATGTTTAACGTATATTTAAAATGAGCATATCTAATATACTGACTTTTAGAGAACACGTCCTCTCGTGTATAAAAAATATAACCAATTATATAATGATTTGTAAAAATTCCACTTCTCAAAGCTATAACTTATTATTTTTTAAATAGTATTCCGTGTAAAAGAAATGACTGTTTTCGAGAAAAAAAAACACCAAAACAATAAAATTTGTTAAAAACGAAGCATTGAAATCTTTGAATTAGTATACAACAAATTTCATGTTTTGATAGGCAATTTCATTTTGAAATTTTAATATTAATCAAACACATGTTTTAATTATTTTAGGCTGAAAGCGACGAAGTGTATTCTTCCAAAGAGTTCATACATGATTTATCTCATTGTTCAGCTCGCCGTGTAGTTGTATTCGTCGACCAAAGTTACAGTGGTATGTTAGCTCTTCATGCGCAATTTTCCAGGAGACGGATAGAAAATGTAATGATCATTCCAACCACAAGAATGGATGACTGGACGCCAAGACATAGTTTTAACGCATATATGAGGGAAGGTAGCCGTATGGCTTGTCTATCTGAATATATCAAGGTGAGACAGAACGAATTTAATATCGTTCATATATAAATCTATAATATAAACTATATAAAAATTATAATGAGATGATAAAATGGCAAGGAAATGGATATCATTTTTTGGAGGAGAGATTTCGGCCTTAAAAATTCAACAACATACTTACTACATATATTTCGATTTATAAATAAAATATTGCTCATAGCAAGCTACAGTCCTCTTCATTCCTTCTCAGGGCTATATTTCTAAAATGTAACAAAAAATTAAAAGTTATTTTGAAGAAATCAACATCACTTTTGACTTTTAAAATGATATTCTATAATTCGTGTTTGTTTTTTTTAATGTCTCTTCCAGATTAAGTGCTTTGTATTATTTTTTTTTTTGACCTTTCGATATTTCAATTAAATTGAAATATAAAATGTACCACATAAATAATTATACAATATATAATTATTTATGTATTATACCGAAATAAATATAAACATTTATTTTGATCTTATTAAAATTTTACTCAAAAAAAAAAAAAAAATATATATATATTACACGATGTATAAGTTATATGTCCAATTGAATTATGATGATTTGGAATTTTTTCAAGTACAATAGTACTCTAATTTTATGTTTTTTTTATGCTAACAACTCGTTTTTCGTCGTGGTAGGTACAATATGATTATAAAATTATATACTCAAGTACAATATTGAGTTACATTTGGTTAACAATATTTATTCTTGGACGGAGCAACAAAAAACGCGGTCCATTGTCTACCTATCTTTAAAGTTCGTGGTATACAACAGTAGGTCCTAACGTACAATATAATTTGCAACATACCGGGTTAATGGTATTCATATGAATATGTTATTTTGATGTATTCCCTTACCATTCACGGAGCGGTCTGTCGCATTGGTGTGGTGTCTGTCGATTTTCAACACGTGCATATAAAAATTGAAACCTGGGAAAAAAGTCACTGCTTGGTCAGCTGAAAATCTCAAACATATTAATTAAAAAGGACCAATGTGTTTGTGCGCGTGTTTCTCTCTCTCAAAACTAAACATTTAAGCATTTTTTAAACCCACAAGACACGTTTGAACAACAATGCGATTCGTAGAAATACTATAATAAAATTGAACTACTCGTGCGTTGTATTATGTATTAATAGGTTCACAAACCTATGTAATTTATAGCTTATTGTATTGATAATATTCCTAACATTCAAATTGCGTCTCGTAGTTAAATAGTTATACCGAATTTGTTTTTTAGCCGTTCGAAGAATCTCAAATCATGCCACCAGTGTTCACTGGTATGTTTATGGAGCAGGAGATGAGAAATATAACAATATCAGGTGTCAGGCCTTGTGTGCAACGATGAAACCACGTTGATTTCGATATTAAACTGCCCATTTACATTATTATTAAATATTATTTAGTAGGCATACATTGAATGTGGAGCAATAAAAAATGAATTGTTGTTTTATTTATGTATTTTTTTTTTTAAGTATTTATACATGTTTTGTGTCGTAAGAACAACAAAAGAAATTCTTATATTTGTTATTCATTGATTGAACATGATTATTAATTGTATATACATTATACATTATACAATTTGTATTGTATAATAATGTAATTATATTCTGTTTTTGCTATCGATTTAACTACTTGTAAAAATCATTTTTAATATTTATTTATTTATTATAATGTTAAATTGTTTAAGTTATTTATACGTATGTATTTTTTTTACAAAGTAGTTAATCAATTAAAGCTTTGATTTTTTGCAATTGAGAAATAAATCATGTTTTTTTTTTTTGCATGTATTGCAGTAATTTATTTCCAAGGAGGTTCTTTAGTTTTAAAACTAAAAGGGTGTTTATCATTTTATATAGATAATTTTAATCATGAGAATCTAGTTTCAATATTAAAAAAATAATTTTTCAACTGAAATATGTATAAGCGTCTATAGGCAGTGACAAGGTCATTGACCGCAATATTTATCTCTTAAATGAACTAATGAGTAAAAATAAAGGAAAAAATATACTTGGAGATTTTCTGACTGAAGGTAGGCCCCCATTCTACTAATAAATCCTGATTAGGTTATATAGATACATTTTAAATCATTACATCAGTAGAACTTCTAAACAATTACAAAATATTAGTAATTTATAGTACGTTTTTGACTCATGAGAAAATTAATTTTTATTTAAATACTCAATAACATTAATATGAGTCTCGAACCTTATTTAATAGATCAGTAGTCAGTTATGCATGCAAAAACACATCATATGCGTTAAATGTAAACAATGTCTTTACATTTGATTTTACAATTTCCAGATGTACGCACCGATGTCAATATTTATTACCTTATTGAGAATTATAAACATATTTTTATAAACAAGTTGATATTAAATTGACACCCTTTTGTTATGCGATGAATAATTGCATCATAGAATTTAAAAAGGTAAAATTTCGGAACAAAACACAGACATAGTTTTCTGGCTAAAATATTTTAAAGTATTAATGAACCACTACTTTTTCCACATTGTTATAAAAATGCTAATATTTTTTAAATACTAATACAAAAGTTGTTATCAACCAGTCATTTTCTTAGATAGATTATTTTCTAGTTTGTAAATTAACAAATAAGTTTCATATAAAGTTGATAATAGTTTAATGGAGAAAGGGGAATATGACCAATATGTTCTCTAAAAATTATAGAACGTAGGTAATATTATCTTTTAAAAATAAAATTGAATTTTTTTATTTAAATTAAAGATGTTCCGTGAGACACAATTACCCTGACATGTGCTTGTGTAGTAAAATTACGACTTTATTTCTATAAAGTGGTATTATTTTTATTATGATGTCAGTAAAATATGTGCGCAGTGCCAGTTTAAAACAATTTAATATGAATTGGCCACTGGAAGTATCAAAATAAAAAGAATGTCAATTAGCTGTAGGTTCGTTTTTATTATTATTTAATAACGTTCAATTTTCGATTGAATCTATTTTTTAGTCTACGTATATTTTGTTACACCGTTGTATCATAATGATTTGAGTTTTAGTTGTATAGAGGGGGAGGATGCTGATGCTATGAGGTTGTAGTGATCACGAGGTCTGCTTCCACGCATGTATTTCTCATGTAAATGTTTACTAAAACGTTTCTTCAGCACTTTGATTTCGCCGAGCGGTCGTTCGCAACAAATTAGATATAAATTATTATTAGTTTTATGTATTAGTAATTTTTGTTGGACTATCGTGTGCAGTTTGACAGTTCAGCTGTTGACATCTCGCAAAAATGAGGTGGCGTCTACTGGTCGCAGCATATATGTTACCTCTGATTTTTGAAGTCGGATGGTCCATCACTTACGTTGAAGGTAAACAATTAAGATCAATAAAATTACTAATGACTATAAGTATTTATTTTTTATTCTTTATGGTTGAAAACTTAGACGAACAATATTGGAAAGCTTATGGTATATCTGAACTCAAAAATTCTCTAAGATTTGGCGGCAGGAGTCAGACGAGCGAGAAACACGCTAAAAATCTAGTAATTTTTATCGGTGATGGGATGGGTCCAAATACAGTAACAGCAGCCAGAATATACAACAATGGAGAAAGCGGAAGACTGACATTCGAAAAATTCCCGCACATTGGTTTACTGAAAGTAAATAAAATTACTAAATTATATAGCTGATAACATAATTGATTCGTTTAAAAAAAACATTACTGTATAAACTTTAAACTAATTGATGAAATATATTTTTAAAACAATTACTTAAAGATTTCTTTTAATCGGAAATTTATTTCTTAAAATTTGTATCTCTGTTTAAACAAATAATGAATTTAAAATAAATGTTAATTTTAATACTAAATTTTTGTACAAAGCAATTTCTTTGAACTTTTTTTTCAATTCGTTAGTTCGCCTGAAAATTAAATGTACTAAAACATGATATTTTGTTTAAATTTCCAAAATAATATTTTTAGTTATTCCATCATATATTTTGATAAATTATAAATACAATTACACTTTTAACATAAATTATTTCAACCTAAATTTATAATAAACAAATTTTGTTACACTTAATACTTTTAAAAACCAAACTTGTTATGAACATTAATAGAGTATTATAAAAAAATTAATTTTTTGAATAATAACATATATTTTAAAATATAATATATTAAAAAAAATTTATAAATTTTCATTAACAATTAAAAGCAATAAATAAGTATTTAGAAAAATTAAATATTTATAAAAATAATTTTTTTAATTTGCTTTAACAATTAACAATTAATAAGAATCTTTATCATAACTGATCACGTCATATCATATAAAATACCATACAATCCAATCTATTATCCCTATTTTCTATTAAGTTATTTTTTAATTGAATTTAATTTTCTTTATGCCAACACCTCTGAGATTAGCCATTGCCGATGTTTTATTAGAACGATCTTTGACAACACGCTGATTTCTATAACTTTGTCTATTAAAATCTTTTTGCAAAGGGTTAGTATCGTGTTTAAAATTCTTAAAACATTTGTTTTTAACCATAGTTAATTCATGGCGAAAGCCAATATTTTTAGTAAGACGTTTAAAATGATCCATCATAAAAGCTTCGTCATGCATTTTCATGATCGATTCATCTTTTTTTTTCGTCACTACATTTTGTAAAGAATTGTCATCAAATAGCTCGGTATTTTTAGACAAAGCAGAGTCTCCAAGATATTTACAATCAATTAAAAATGGACATTCTACCCAAAATCGAGACTTGTCAATATAATCCGTAAAACGTGTGTCCGAACATTCCAACGACTTTGCAAACTTAGAACTGCTTAATTCAGAAAGACAACGTCTTTTAGTAAGCAAATGCTCATCGTCGTTGATCTCACCACTCGATCTTTTAACTGATTTCATGGTTGGGGGAGTTTTTTGTTAGTTTATAAAAAATTCGAAAAAAAAATGTTTAGCACAAAAATTACGATTTATTCACAAAATACAACTGTCACTGATCATTGTTGATTTTTTTTATTTCAATATTTTCGAGATCACTCAGTAACCAATTAAACAAGTAAATGAAATATTATAAATTATTTGGGCTAGAATATTTTAAACACTAAAAGTAGATTATTGTTTTTCATTTATTTTATTATGAGTTAATTTTCAATGAGTTTTTTGTTTTATTAAAAAAGATTAGCGAAAAATAATTTTCCATATGATCATTTCGTGGAATAAAATTGTTAGTATTAATTTTTTGTTTTTACTAATGTGATAGTGTTAAAATTTCATAATACATTGTAACTATTCTTTTAGCTAAAATATCAACTTTAATATATGACTTCTACTTTATAATAGCTATAAGTAAAAGTATTTGCGTGTGCTCACCCCTTAAAATATACCTTTAATGATTGTGCAAGTTATAATCGAGCCAATAGATTTATGTATAAGTTCATTCATATTTTCTGTTTTTTATTATCTCAGACATATTCGGTGAACAAACAAGTGCCAGATGCAGCGAGTGCAACTACAGCGATGTTCACTGGCGTCAAAGTCAACCAAAGAGTAATCGGTTTGGACGCCTATCATAATTTAAACGATACTGCGTATTGCAATGAGCCAATGAAAATAGGACTTGAAACACTAGCCACGTGGGCTCAACAAGCGGGTAAACATACTGGTGAGTAGTTAAAAACTGTAAGAGGAAAAAAATATCGTATGAAATATGATCTCTGACCTAACCCAACAAAAATTATATCCATAATTTTTAAGTGTATCTCGATAGAAAAAACGCTCTATAAGCGCTAAAAAAATATTTCTTACGAGATTTGTAGGTGTTGTTTTTCCTTATTCATCATTTCCTCGTTATTCCGTCTTGAATTATAAATAATTACACAATTACTGTAAAAGCTTATCGTCGGTCATTGACTTTGAAAAATTAAATATGACGTACCTGCAGGTTTTGTGACCAACTCAAGAATAACAGACGCAACTCCTGCAGCTTTATACGCTCAAGTATCAAACAGAAAATGGGAATGTGATACTGCAATACCCGCAAATACCAGACAATGCAAAGACATTGCCAGACAGTTGATCGAAGATGAACCCGGCCGAAACTTTAAGGTTTGACGATAAATTGGTATACAGTGCTTCGATAGCCTATAAAGGTTGAAATTTCTAAGAATAATCATTCTTCTCGGATTTGCAGGTCATCATGGGAGGCGGTAGACAATCGTTCGTGGCAAACCCAGAAGACACTTTAAAATATGTCGACAAAAAGGTTTGCGTAAGGTCTGATGGGAGAAATTTAGTTGATGATTGGATTCGTGATAAAAATTCAAAAAATTCTTCCTACCGCTACGTAACCAATTTAAAAGACATGATATCCACAAATGTGGAAACTACGGACTATGTTTTGGGTAAAATTTAAACCACAGGTTTCAATTTTATTGGTAGTTTTAAATTCAAATATAATTCGGTAAGAGTTTTATCCCCTAGCATTTTGATAGCCACCCTGACCATTTCAAGATGACAGTAATAATGTAGTTATTTCTGAAATTGTTGCAATGAGATTAGTCTAGGATCAGTTTAAAAACACTTTTTTTTTTTGTATCATAATATGGGCTTAAGTTGGCCACCTTAAGATTTATCTCTTACATTTCAGATAACTAGAATAAATAAATTTGAATATCTGATCTACTTCAAACAAACGCTTTAAAGTTAAATTTCAAAGTGGCCATCTTTTTACTTGACGGCTAACTTAAGACAATTTTAAGGTGGTAATTTTATACAAATATGTAAAACAATATTCTTCTAATTGCCTAAACACTTAAAGACCCTCCAAAGAAATGTCTGAATTCAACACAGCTTTTAAAACTTGAAAACAAAAAATTAAATGTTTTTTTAATTATATAAAATATTAATTAAGATATTTTATTTTTAATTATTTGTTTACTAGATACTACGTTTATTTCTTTTATTTTTAACTATTTAGAGAGTAATTTTGTTATCATAATCCACTCAATTACTTACAGAATCAAAATAATTTAAATATTTTTTATTTGGTTCCCTTTAGTTTCATATTATCCTTAAGTGATTAGGTATGTAATACTTTTTAAATTTATCCCTTATGTTTTGTAAGTGTGTCAGCATTGTTTTTTCGAATAGGAACACATATTTTGAATTTAATAAGATGCTTGAGGTTTTATTTTAATAATAAATGACATTTGAATTTTCAAAACAACTTTATTCGTTTGTTAGATATAAAACTTTTTCCAATTTTTGAGTTAATATACATGTATATTATATAAGGAATTACAATTATACGTAGCTGATGATTGGTTTTTTAAGATGTCGCCAACACAGATCGGAACGTTTATTGTTAATTATGACTATCAATAGATATACTTTCTGTATTGCCAGTTAGTGTATTTATAAACTTACAACAATGTGCTTTATTACCATAATTTACTAAAAAATTTGAAACTTTGAAAATTAAAGTTTTATGTTAAATTAACGATGTTAAAAATTTTAATGCTATGTACTATTAAAAAAAAATCTTTAACATTTTATTAAATTCAAAATATGTGTTCTCATTTGATAAAACGAAGTTGACACACTTACAAAGCGTAAATAATGAATTTAATAAGTATTAAATAGCTAATAATTCAAGAATAATAAGTAACAAGTTACCGAAAAAAAAATGTTTATATTATTTTTATTCTGCAAGTAGTTCAATGGTTTATGATAAAAAAATCACTTTGTATTATTATACTAAATTAATATTAAATTTTATATTTTTTTATGAGTTTAGGTTTATTTTCGGAAGGATGGATGCCAATGGATTTGAAAAATCAAAAAACATTACCAACTCTAGAGAAAATGACAGATATGGCCTTACAAGTTTTATCAAAAAGCGAAAGTGGTTTTTTTCTTATGGCAAGTGATGAAATACAATATAAATTTACAAAGAATATAATTCACTTCCGTATCCAAAATATTTTTTCGGGGGAGGGAACCAAAATGTTTGATTTATATACATTTATATGTGTTCTTTTTAAATTCTGGAGAGTTGAAATCTGGAAACTTCCCCTGAATAATATTTGTATATTATTGTATCATTATTTTATGTAATAATGAAATATTTTAATGTACCCAACCTTTAAATATAGCTAATACATGTACTTCATAAATTAATCATTTTTTAAATAATTCCAATAGACAATTATTACTAAAGTTACCTTCAGATTCGTACACACTGTTAAATTTTACTGATTGATGGAAGCCTATTAAATATTTTGCAGCTCTGGAGATAATATGTTAAAAGTGTGTTATAACCCAAAAAATGTTATTAGGAAGAATTTTTTTATAAAACAATTAAATTAAATGGTTAATTAGTCCCAATATATGCTCCTTAAATATGCTACTGCTGATTGGATTTAAAGTTTAGCCAATTCATTAAATTAAAAAAACTATTATTCATATTTTTAAATTACAATTTTGACAAAATCTATGGTGGATCCAAAAGGATCAGTCATAACGCCTTATTAAAATAATGTAACAACCGTTAATTGAAAGTTATTATGATACAAGAAATACAATATAATTAATAAAAATATTAGGTCTTAATAAAGTTAATTGTACACATATAAGAACGTTCCCAGAAGAGGGGATAGGAGTCAAAACTACCCATAATAAAAATATTAAAAACGTATTTTTAATTTAAGTTAGAGGAGGCAATAAAAAATTTTCTTACATATAACCAATTTTTTCTTTAAAAAATTCCTCAGCACACTAAGCAAAACTTTCATGTCTAATATCTGTTCAAATTCAGTAACAGTTAGTATTTGTATTTACTATTTTTTTAAAAGATATTGCTTTAATTATTTTTTTTAGTTAATATCATAATCCCAATAAAACTTAATTCTGAATGTAATAATTAATTTGACACACATAACAACTGCCAATAGGTTGAAGGTGGTTCAATTGACTTAGCACACCATAAAAGTATGGCAAAACAAGCTATAGAAGAAACATTTGAATTAGACAAAGCTATAAATCAAACACTTCATTTGTTAAAACTATGGAACATTTTGAATGACACATTAGTAGTGGTTACAAGTGATCACGCTAGCACATTATCAATCAACGGATACCCAAAACGAGGCAAAAGTATCCTAGGAGTGGCTGGTACATCTCTAGTTGATGACGTTAAATATACAACACTTACATATTCTATTGGTTATGCACCAAAAGCAATATATACAAGACTTGGCAAAGAAGTAATAAGACAAGATCCTACAATTTATGATACAAGTGGTACATTTTACAATCAAGTGGGAATTATGGAAGAAACTGGTGTTCATGGAGGAAATGATGTAGTAATATATGCCCAAGGTGATACATTAGTTAATTTAACCAATTTATATACTATAATTATCAACTAATTATTATTCATTTACTATTATTAAAGGACCTATGGGATATTTGTTTCATTCTATACATGAACAAAGCTATGTGGCACATGCAGTAGCATATGCTACAAAAATTGGCCCATATCAAAATGGACTGAACAATTCAACACCACCTATTTTTAATATTTCTTATCTTCTACTAACTACAATTATGATTTCTTTTGTTTGTAAATAAATATTTATTTTAATAGTATTCTGTAACAAGTTTATTGTCTATAATTTTTCATTTTAAATTTATTCATTCAAATACTGAAGTATATAACTTTATAATTAAGATGGTTCCAAAACATAAATATCTAAAAAACATGTAAAAAAAAAGGATAAGTTTACACTAAGTAAACATAAATAATGATGAGTAGATGATAAAATTTTGACAGACAAATAAAAAAAAAGTTTTTATGCTAAAACACAAACATTAAGTTACTTCAACTGTAACTATAATTAGTAGATGACTAGTTTAGTCTTTTGACTGCATGAATTTAATAAGGTCGACAACACGGTTGGAATATCCATATTCATTATCATACCATGAGATGAGCTTAACGAATTGTTCATTCAATGGAATACCCGCTTTGGCATCAAAGATGGATGAGTGGTTATCACCAATAAAATCAGATGATACAACTTCATCTTCAGTATATGCCAAAATTCCTTTTAATGGACCAGCAGCAGCTTCCTTAATTTTGTCCTTGATAGCTTGATAGCTGGCTGGTTTTGCTAACCTAACAGTCAAGTCAACAACTGAAACATTAGCAACTGGCACACGGAATGCCATTCCGGTTAATTTTCCATTTAAAGCTGGGATAACCTTTCCAACTGCCTTGGCAGCACCAGTAGCAGCAGGGATAATATTTTGGGCAGCACCTCTACCATCTCTCCATAACTAAAAAACAAATGTATATATATATATATGTAAATATTTATTAATTTTTTCAACATTAGTATAATTTAATATTACTTTTCCTGATGGTCCATCAACAGTCTTTTGCGTAGCTGTTGTAGCATGTACTGTTGTCATGAGTCCTTCAACAATACCGAAATTATCATTGATGACTTTGGCCAAAGGAGCTAAGCAGTTAGTTGTGCATGAAGCGTTTGAAACAACTTTGTAAGATGGATCATAAGCATCTAAGTTAACACCAACAACAAACATAGGTGCATCAGCACTAGGAGCAGAGATGATGACTTTTTTAGCACCTCCTTCTAAATGGGCAGAAGCCTTTTCAATTGTAGTAAAAACACCAGTAGATTCAACAACATAATGTGCACCAGCCGATCCCCATTGGATTGCTTTTGGTTCACGTTCAGAGAAAACTTTGATTTTGTTACCTAATCAATATATTTATTAATTTAAAATAAAATAATAACTATTACTCAAAATGAGTGAGTCATTTCAACTATTAAAAAAACAAATTTTTTTAATGGATTGAAATAAAAGCAAATTACAGCATGATTTACCATTAACAACTAAGCAATCTCCATCAACAGAAATCTCTCCCTTGTAACGACCATGAGTAGAATCATATTTGAATAAGTATACCATATATTCAATACCAATGAATGGGTCATTGATGGCAACAACTTTAGCACCCTTTTCCAAGGACGCTCTCAAAACCAATCTGCCAATACGGCCAAATCCATTAATACCAATGTTTGACATATTTGAAATTTTATTGTAAGGTCTAAATTAAATAAAAATTATAATTAACTCATTAGTATGGTATTAATAATTAACTAAAAATACAAATAAAGGTACAAGAGTTCTAGTACAACTCATGGTTCATAGATAAGAATAATTTTTATTTAGATTTTAATTGATTGTTTATGATTAATTGGAAAAAAAATGTTTTAAATGATACAAATATTAAAAATAAAAACACTTTTGATTTTTTTAATAAGGAGATTATTGATGCACAACAATTTTAACCTTGAAAATAATACTTTATACATAATACTAATATTATTATTATATACTTTATTTAATATTAATCTATATTTATTTTAAAAATTAATATCATTTAATCGCATAGTAAATAATAGAAATTATATACATATAACATACAAATAAAACTGGGCATCATTTAAATAATAAGTGTAAAAGTTAAGTTACAATAAACTTTTCAGTTTAATAATGATATTTAGATTTAAGTTAACTAAATTATCTTTTATTCAATATTAATGAGACATTGTCAAGTTAACTTTTAACTCAATTTATTTAAATAAAAAAATAAAGTATTAACTTTAACTACTGTTAACTCATTAATTTTTCTAAATTTAACTTGTTAATTTAAAATTTTATGTTAAAAAAAAAATCATTAACTAACCCAGTTTTACATCTAAATCATCATTGTGCCAATAAGTTACAAAAATTGGCAATAATAAAAATATATTTTGATTATTAGAGATACAAATAAATAACTATTGCTAAACTTCTCAAGTTCATTTTATAAATAAATTAAAAAAATATTTACTAAAGAATATCAATTGATGATAAAAATGTATAGATAAATGTTGTGAAATTAAGTTTAAAAATAATTTAAGTATAATTGGTTATGAATAACATGTTATATATTCTTAAAAGGGGTGTAAATAGAATTATTTCAGTATTATACAAAGTTTGAGAAAACAAATAGATTTTATCGACATTAAGGGAAAAAAAATTATTCTTAGAAGGTTTTTTTTAAATCATTTATGTAAATAATAGTTAGATAATATACATTTTTTCCTTGAAATCTAATAATATAAGTGTAATAATTTAAGGAGCAGTAGTAATTTTATTAAAACACTACAATTATTAACACAAATATTAAATCTAAAAATTATGAATAATTGAGTAGGCTAAAATCAAAACTATTATTAAGATACTATTACAAAATTTTCTATAGAATGCAAAAATTTGAAAACTTACTAAACAATAAAATTAAATAAATATATTTTAGAATACTTTATAAAAACATATGAAACAACATCTTTAATGAAACCCTTAAACTGTTTTTTTTTGCAAACTTTCATGTTGATTACTTCTATGTAATATTAACCTTTTCAATTATTTCAGAACTTAAATAAATTTTCAAATAAAACCAATAATTTTCTTGGTAAATTAGTACATAATTTTTTAAATTAGACCTTAGTAGTTATTGATTTTATAATTTTTGGCAAGCTGCATTCAATTCTAAAAAACTATAACAGAGTTGTGTAAAAATACAGAAAATGAGTCAGATAATAATTTGTCTGTAATATTTGAATATTTCATTGTGAATTTTTATAAAATATTAATGGGATACCAATCTTTCTCGAAATTTCTATGCAATAGAGCAAAGGGCGTCTAGTTATTCAACTTAATTTGAAGGTTAACCAAGGTCAAAGGTTCGTTGTTCAGAATATTTTCATGTATCATTTAATTCTTAAATAAAAAATAAATTTGATTTACTATACAGCACAAACTGTATAAAATCATTACAAGTTTTATAAAGTTAAATTTTTACAACGTGTCATCTAAATGTTTTTAACATGAAAATTAATCGCCTTGATACTGTCATAATTCTTTACATAACCTCACAAAACCCGGTTTGTTTTTTAAAAATAAAAAAATGATATTCAACCATCATCATCATTCAAATCAATTACAAATAATTTTGAAAAGATAACGTATGAATGAGTAAATAATAACTTCAAAAGCTTACCTTTTTAACTTTAACAATGGAACACGACTGCTGTCAGATCGAAGTATACACGAAAAGTGAGAAGTGATTTTGTACCAGCGCGCAGGTCGTACGACAGCTCAGCGGATCAATGCCAGCAAGGTCAAATAAACACAAGGTAAGCACAAGTTAGTGCTGTGATATTAAAAACGTTGGTAATAAGCCATGTATTTCATGACGTAATATGCGTCATTTGTTATGAAAACACCTATTTCTATTAGCCAAACTTTTTTTATATCTGTCTATACTGGTCGCATCAATTTTTACATTAAAATCTTTTTAACTAAAGCGGCTGAGGTAAAGCTTAGCTCCCAGTTGACAAATTAAACCCCCAAAATTTATTGTCTACATAATGCAGCATGAGTGAAGTATGTGTTATAAATATACACCAACACAAGATGTACCCTCGCGCTCCATATCCTCTCTATGCATTAAAATTATTATAACTCAATAAGTATTTATTATTATTTATAAAGTTGTTATCCACCCATTAAAAATTTGGAAGAGAAATTAAAAAAAATCGACTGTTTTAAAAAATAAATAATAATAAAAAATGGTAGCACAGTGTGGACGTGGCATAGTTGAGACAAGTATAGATGATATCTGATATTGATTAAAATCACTATCATAAGAAACGTATTGATACAAATCTGCACATAGTTTTTAAAACTTATGTTGAAAAAGTTAAATTTTTGAGCAAACATTGCTATTTTGAATCCCCTCTATAGGCAGGTAAAGTGTTCAATTTTTAATAAAAATATATTCCAAAGAAAGGGAAGTACCTGAGGTATTTATATATAAAAAACTTATTTTAATTGGTTCATTTTTAAAAAAGTAATGACAGTTTTAAAAAAAAATGTTTAAATTTTTTGTTTTGGGTAATTTCCATCATATACGTGGAATTTTCAATTTTTGAGTGTAAAGTTTTTAACTAAATACGATTTGTAATCTTTAAACATATCGTTGAGAAAAAATAATGACAGACAAAAAAAAATAATAATAAACATATCAGGGTAAAATTAATACTTTATCAGATTATCGTCAAAGCTAAAATATACTTTGAACGTATAAAAGTTGTCAGATAGAACCTATTCCATATAAACGCATTTATAGTTATGATGGGGCAAATAAAATTAGTAAACTCAAAAATTTTATCCCTATCGCACTTATACCAACAAGAATTTTATAAATAAATTACTCATATTGCCCTTTTTTACTTTTAGCTTTAATGCGAAGCTGAGAAGGTATTGGTTTTACTATGATGTGTTTTTTTTTTGTGCCTGTTACCACTTTTTCTTAGCTCTCAACGAACAGATTTCTTTCAACGATACGTCAAAAGATCACAAATCGTATCTAGTTGAAGACATTATCCTCAAAAATTGAAAAAATTTCCCTCGTTCCTCGTAAATGGGTGAAACCTCCAAAAAAATTACAAATTTAAAAATCGCTAATTTTCGAAATTTTTTCAATTTTTTTTTACTAAAAACTGCCGTAATTTTTTCGAAAATAAACATATCAATATAATTTTTTTTTATAGATGCTTGATATCTTTATCTATTATTTAGTATATATATTTTGTAAATCTGACCCTTTACCTACCTACAGGGGGCGATTTCAAATGACAACTTTTTCAACTTAACTTTTGAAAGTGTTCCAGAAGGTCTGACACTTTTATATATATCTTAAATTAAAGCTTATGGACTTGTCTTCGTGGTGAAAATGGCTACCGAATGCTATTTTTGTGTGAAAATTCTCGATATTATATTTTACATTTTTAACTTTATAATGCTATAACTTATTGAAAAGTGTATGGATCAACACAATTTTTTATGAGAAATAATATTTTGCACTAAAATAGTTTTTTAAATCCTAAAATTTTAGTAAAAGTTTCATATATTATTATGCTAATTAAACATTTTCTCCCGCTCTCAATAGTACTATAAACATTTTATATATTATATAAAATTTTCTAAATTTTTGGGCACTAAGCTTACTCAAGCCCATTCTATAGTTGTGAATTTGATCGTGGCAGAAGTGTCAAGGGAAATTGACATATACTTCAAACGTGATCTAGTTATTTCAATACAGGCTCGGCGTTAGAGATATATGAAGTGTTTCCAATGTGCTATAAAGTAACATGATAACTAAAAAAAAAATGTCATTGCCATTATACATTATGTAAGAATTTTATTTATTTATTTAAATACAAAAAAAGTTTAATGTATTAAATTCAAGAGCAATCCAAAGTATTTTGCCTCCTTAGGCAAAAACATATAGATGACACTTTTAAATTATTTAATAATTTTTTTCTTTTATATTATGAATGTAAAAACCTGAAAATATCAAAGAGCAGTTACAGGCAGCCAACTTGACTTAAATTTACTTGAGTCATCTTAATTTTTTTGTATATTTTTGAAGCTTATAATAGCGGTCTCTCTGAAGAAGAACTTTCTTAATTATGGATATTCTGAAATGGGTAATTGGTATGTTATTATAATTAAAATTTATCTTTTGTAAGAGTGAAACAATATCTTTAATAACTATTCTAGTTATACTTCTACACAACCAAAATTAATTTTTGTCATTATTATATTCATTGCAGTTAGTTTAAAGCATTGTCGATAAACAGAAAGTTCGATTGCCAAATCAAATAAATGAGGTTTTTTTTTTTTTTGTTCTATAAATATGTAATTCAATAAACGTATATCAGTTATCTTAATGTGTTGTTGATAATTTATGATAACATGATTCATCTAACTTTAGCCATATTATTAAATAATAATGTTAGACAAGAGAAACCAAACCAACACTTACTTACAACTTATTTTGTAGGCTCTTCATAAAATCTCTACGCAAAATTATAATTTGAATTATCAATGCTTTCAAACTTAATGATCAAGACAGCTAATAAAATAGTATATCTCACCCAATTCTTACAGCACACTTATAATTATTTTAAATACAAATATCGTACTCGGGTCATAATATTAAATAATTTAAAATTATGTCCATGGATTAAATACACACATTTTTGTTTTGAATCTATGTGTATGTCTAAGTTATTCATCGAATAAAATTTATAAGCTAGAATCAAAATAAATGGAGAAGAACTTCATTTAATTAGGTCAATTTAAATTTAAAAAATCTGTTGAATTTACTTTTAATGCATACTACAGTTAATATTTAAATGATAGTAACTAAATTTTAAATGTTAAATAAGACTTAATGAATACTTAAAAAAAATGTTAATAGCTGAAAATTTGTACAAGGACATTATGGGAGTCTCCCTCTTAAAAAATTATACACAAATTAAAACATATTTAAAGGAAGGAAGGGCTTTAAAATTGATCATTGTTTAGTTTGTTCTCAAATTTGTCAGAGTTGACCAGAGATAGTTGATAAAAAAACACAATTTTTCTGTTATTCTAAATAACAATTAGATAAAATGTATTGTATTTATTGAATTAAAAATAATCTTTAAAGTTTATTCTAAATATTTTACCCAAATTAATTATTTGCCATTTAAGTATACAATAATAGTAATCAATAAACAATTAACAAAGATTGTTTTTAAAAAATTAATTTATATATCTCTAATGAAAGAGTGGATCTACCATCTCTGTAACATGTTAAATTCGAAAAATAGAACGATGCGGAAATTAATCATTTTTTTCTATGTATATAATATATCTCTATTATTATTAACTGTATGTTTTATCTAATATTCTTTGCATGGTAGATTTAAATATATTCTAAAAATTAAATATAAAATTACATTAAAGTATTGAAATTTGATACTAAAACTAAGTTTAGGAACTATTAACTATTTTCCAGAAATATCAGTTGTTTAAATGCATCTAAATGTATTCGTTCAAATTTTAAATCTGATCCATTTAAATTTTAAATATTAGCTAATAAATGTAAATTGTATTTTTTAATGACCTTTACAGTTAAAATTGTAAGCATAATAATAAAATAAAAAGTATTTGATGCAATTTTAATTATTAATACTATAATTATAAAATGATATAGGATAACATTATGTTAAAAAAATTTTAACATAAACTACTTTGAAGAAGAATAAAAGTTTTTCTAATTATATTTTTGTTTAAAAATAATGCATTTTATCAAACTAACTAAAATTCCTAAAATATTTTCTTAAAACCAATATTATTTTAGTTTTTTCTATAAATTAAAATATATTTTTATTTTCTGGTAAAAATAATATATTAATATAAGCTATAAATAGTTCTTTTTAATTTGTCACTAAAAATCTTTAGTTCAAACCCTATATATAATATAAATATCCCATTATAAATATTTATATAATGATTTAATAAGATAGTAACCATAGTAATAGTTATACTGCAATATAGTATTAAGAAAGGTTAAATAAAATATACTAATAAAGAAAATCATTTTCATTGTTATCAGACTATGTTACAACATAGGTAAATGTATAATTATATTGTTTGGACTATTTTTCCATACAAAAAATAATAACTATACAAACTAAAACACATACATCAATAATCAATCTATACAAAAAAAATCAACGTAAACTTTTAATTTAATTGGAAATTTATAACTTGTACAATCATAACTAGAAAATAAATGACAAATATAAATTTATTGTCATGCATAATATGTTTACAAATTAAAGGCACTTTTTGCTTTTTATTTATAAATTCGAATATATAGATATTTCAATATCTACAAAAAGATAATATAACAATTAAATTTTAAATTATACATAAAACAAACAATGTATCACTAATAAAGTGGTAGACAACATNTAAAACAAACAATGTATCACTAATAAAGTGGTAGACAACATCAAATACCCAAAATATAAATCCAAATTTTTTTTTTTTTTTATCAAGGGCATTTCTAAAACAACATTATATCATTATTATTATTATATGTTGGGCATGTTTGACATTGTATACATAAATAATATATAAAAGAATAAAGGTTGGTAATTTGAATTTAAAGAAGGGTTTTTAAGGTAAAATTGTTGGTGTGGCAAAGAATTATAATCATAAAAATAGAAATTAGAAATTAATGTCCCAGCCTGAATTGTCATCCGGTGGAGGGCTGTCTGCATCAGGTGGATAATTGTCAAAATTGCTTGTGTCTATAGCACTACGCACCTTTGGTAGAATTGGAGGGGTAAGCGTTCGATTTCGAAGTCCTTCCCAGTTAAAACCATCAAACCATCTAAAAAAATGCAACCAGTAAAGAAACATTCAAAAACTAAACATCATAAATTGATCATACTTGTGCTTTTGTACTTCAGTTAATCTTTCAGCTGGATTGTCTCTGTAATATGAAAAAAAATTAAATTTTAAATAACCAATGAATACAATATATTTGTATTTGTATATATATATATAATAAATGCAAGAAAAGTTTATAACAACTTATAGTAATATTGTTTTTTTTATCATTATCAATTCTTCAAAGAAATACTTTTAAAACAATAATTTATGAAAAAAAATAAAATGTATAAGAAGACTAAATCAGAGAACATTCTAAAAAATTTAATAAATAAAAAATACAGAAGGTAATGAGAAGAATTCAAATAATTGCCTACAAGTGTAAAAAAAGTTCTAGATACAGTTACTACTTCACATATTGATACTTAAACAATTTCATGAATAATTTAAAAAATAAATCTAAGTTTCTGTTTTTAAGAACAAATTTACTACAAATTCTATATATATAAATTTTTTACTTTTTGTATCTTTTATTTATTAAAATTTATTTTAAATTCAGTAAAATTAAAGAAATTCAACTTAGTTTTATACATATATTCTTTAAATATATACTATGATTATTCTAATAAACATAAGATATAATTAGTATTTATTTTTAATAGTAAAAAACAATTTAAATAACGGAACAGAAAAATTGTTAAATTTATAATACACTAATTCTTTAAAATCAAGTATACATACCTGCATAATTTTTTAATTAAGACTCTAGCATTTCTAGTAATATTTCTTGGGAATTCAATAGCATCTATTCCTTTTAATATAATATTGTAAGTTTTCATAGGATCGGCTCCGGTGAAAGGTGGTGTGCCTTAATAATAAAAATTTAATTAAAATTAATTCTTAATAATAATACTATGATTTGAATGTTTAAAACAGTTATTATTATTTAATTTACAAGAATTTTATCATTAACCTAATAGAGGACCATCATTCAGTGTACAATTATACAGTTGTTTTAAGTTGAGTCAATCAAAATTATTATAAATTTTATAAATTAAACAACTTAGTCCTATTTATTAAATTAATAAACATAAAGTACGAATACAATTTTTGTACCGGTAAGTAGTTCGAACATGAGTACTCCCAATGACCAGTAATCGGCGCTAATATCATGACCCCTGTTGAGAATCACTTCCGGAGCGACGTACTCGGGTGTACCACAGAATGTCCAAGTTTTTCTTCCATTCTATGAATGATTAGACCACAATTAGAATTAGAATTTGAAATGATATTACAAAGACACTTTTAGTGTTGAACACAAAAATGAGTTTAACATATAATTGTTAATAATACCTGAAGTTTTTTAGCAAAACCGAAATCCACTAGTTTGACATAACCACTTATGTCTAAGAGAAGATTTTCAGGTTTCAAATCTCGGTAAATGATATTACGAGAATGCAAGTAATCAAATGCTTCGACCACACAACCCGTGTAAAATCGCGTGGTGGAGTCATCAAAATGTCCTCTGTCTCTGTAATTAGTCATAATGCATTGAATGGCATAATTACATGTATATTACATTTCATTTTACACGTCGACATGGATAAATGAAAATTATACTCGTATGGTAGTTTAAGAACTCTAACCAAAATATCATGTTTTGTCGATTTGCGGTCACTTACCTCAATATAGTCCACAATTCTCCACCAAGGCACGATTCCATGAGCATGTACAGATATTTTTGATCTTTGAACGTCTTGAACAGTTTGACTATGAAGTCACAATTAGCTTCACCCATAATTTCTTTTTCAGACATGATATGTTGTTGTTGTCTCGTCTCGACAATCTACGAGAAAAAATATTCACATTAAGTACACGAATTCGTTCACCACACTCAACTTCAAATTAAGTATGTTTATAATGAAACTTACTTGACTTTTTTTCATTTGTTTCAAAGCAAATGACCGAGTTGAATCATTATTAACTTGGACAAGTTCGACCCTGCCAAAACCTCCGACGCCCAAAGTGGCTAGTACTTGGAGATCTGATAGTTTGAGATTTTGGAATTCTTTGTTTGTAGTACTATAATGATAAATACAATTAATATAACGTCAAAATATGATTTTAATAAAAAAAATAAGATAACTAATTATAATTATAATCATAATTCTAAAAATAAGTACACAATATACTATAATTTAGTTCCATGACAAATAAAAATTAATAGGAAAAAAATTTGAGCATGCACCATGCAAAATTGTTTAAACGAACTAGTTCATGTTTAATTTTTATGAATAAATTAAAAATGTATCAACTACGTGTATTCAAATATATTTTAACAACATTTAGCTTACCCGGGAAGAGCCTAGGACAAAGGCATGTAAGTGAGAAAATTATGAATATTAGGTAAACCGTAAAACAAAATTAACACTAAATTAACAACAAACAGATTTCTGTTTAATACGTTTGAGTACCTGCATTTTTTAGTGTATTTATTTTGTATATTTTTTGAAAGCTACGTTATCAAATTATTTGCGCAGAACTATTACCTCATTCGTTCCAAAACGTCATCATCTTTGTATCTAGTGCGAATTTCATCCAACCCTGATATTAGTTGGTTGAAAGTTTCTCTGTCAATGACCAAACAAGAAACCCCTTCGGGATCACAAGCTATAATATTGGCCGTTCGCAAATCATCGCTGTAAAATATAGAAAATAAAAATTTTAGTGAAATTTCTCCTTGAAATCATTTATAACTTTACTAACCCTTGCAGAGCTTTTTCACCGAAAAAGTCACCTTTCTGTAAAGTACGGATATATTTTTCTTCTGTGTTGTTTGGCTGCTTGATGGTAACTTTGACCTAGCAAGTATAAAAAAATATATACATATATGTGTGGTTTAAATGTTCCGAAGTAATGATTTTTTACCTTTCCTTTGTTGATTATAAAGAACGTGTCTCCACGTGCTCCTTGTCTTATGATATAATCTCCGGCGTTGTAGAAAGTCTACAATAAAAATATTTTAATATAAGATACCCTTTCGCATTAAGCGAGAATATATCATGACTTACTTCTTCCAATACGTCTGAGATTTTTATTAGAGTCTCTTCGGGTAAGTCTTTGAATATCGGGACGCTCTTCAAGAAGTCTGTATATTCGGTTTGACGGATGAGACCTGTTCTCATCATAATGGTTTGGAAACATTGCCGTTCGATTGCCCATAGCTTACAGTCAGTGGCGGCTAAAAATAAATATCGAAACCTCAATAAGTAATGAAGAAAAAATATGTATCCAGGCAATGAAAATAAAAATACGTATAAAGAAGTTCTTTTGAAATCCACTAGTAGTGACCACGAGAGAAAATCGCACGAAGAAAATATGACCAGAGGTCTGAATCGATGGTAAACACTAGTCCACATGATTAGAGCGTGGCGTCTATTGATGTTACAATACAAAATATAAACTTTGTTTGTTATTTACATCAATCGTATTTAGTGAGTAGGGGACAAAATAATAATGAAAAAAAAATTAATTAGCCGAGTATCTTGTAAAATACATTAATTAAAACCGTTTAAATCGAAACGACGTCAACGATACACATTCATATGTACACAAACAATATAAAAACATTAATTACATTTCCGTCATTATAAAACTCAAAGTTTGATTTAATGAATTAAAAATTCTTTTGAACTTTATTGTGAAATATGGTTTTCAAATGATAATCAAGTTGTATACACCTTGAAAATTTAATGACAAATTTTTTATAGTTAATTAAGACTCGAAGGAAAGCCCTTAAAATGTATTTTAATGTATTAAAAATTGATTAAAATTAAAAACCCATCACTAATATACCAAATAAATTAGGTAATGAGCATAGTACAAAATAAACAAATCTTTTTCAACATTTTTTTAATAATTTCAATTTTAATTTCACTCTATTCGTCAGAATATATCAGAACATAAAAAAATATATATCCTTGAAAGTCATAAAAATAAACCAACTGTTCTCACAAATACGTCTATATAGAATAGTCATGAAATCTCTTATGCTGGGTCGCCTATTTTGAAGTTCAGTAAACAAAATCACGAATGACCTACAATTTTTTGTTTAGTAAAAATATATCAGAAACTGTTATTCTTTTTTTTTTTTTTGATAGTGTAGCGAGAAAAAAGTGCCTACGAGTTGGTTGACAGTAAAGATTGAGAAGACTAATTCGACAGTGGGCGTTACAGTTATAAATATCAGGAGCAGGAGCTTAAAGTATTTAAACGACACTAATAACTACACATAGAAGTCTGTCAATCAAAATAATAGCTGTGCACGAGTATTTTTTTTTAAATTCATTTCTCTTCTGTACAGATCCTACTTGAAACGTGTGGGTTATTCATAGTATTGTTCAATGCAACGTTTAAATTGATAATTTTATGAATAACAGAACGCACTGGACGAATAAGGATTCTAAAGGTCTTCGCCGTACATTTTTTTTTTTCATAATTGAAATTTTAACATTCAATCTGGTCATCAAGTGTCCTTATATGAATATAAGATTTGACTATACAAACTACATACCTTTTATGGTGGCAGTGCGTTTACAGTTGTACAAAATGGCAAGTTCACCGAATACTTTTCCAGGAGCCAAAGTGCTCAAATATTTGTTTTCTCTGCTGACTTCCACTCGTCCCTCTGAAAATTAAATAACAAATTAATATATTTTCAAAAAACGTACTAGGTCATTAAAATAAATGCAATACTACAATTGGCTTGAATGCGTTAGCACAACTACGTAGAGAATATACGTGAACATATATCGTAATTACGATTACTTGTGTTTAAATAACATAATAGCTTAACGTATAATTAAAAAAAATTGCATGTCTCAACTCCTGACCTCATTATTTAACTTTAATACATTTTCGGACCCCACGAAGACATTTCTAAAAAAACTGACCGTAATATGTTGTATTTTATACGTAATAGGTATGATTTTTATCAAATCAAAGCGTGTAAAAAAATACACAAATTATAAAAAATAAAATGAAGCGTGATACGATTAGTGTTACATTGGTAAGTATACAAGCACCAACCTACAGTCACGGCCTCATTGTTTTTTCTTGTAATTTTCCAGAAACCAAACGGTATGTCGTTCACGAAAACTGAATTGTGGTAAGTATATGTTGTTATTTATTTACATTGTACGTGTTAATATTTATTCGAACGCGTTTAGTTTGTACATCAGTAAGACGATTTGTCTGTGGTTTTGTAGGACGACAATAGAGATGGCATTTGCGAAGGCACCTACCAAGAAATCAACACACACAAACAAACCCAAAGATTGCATCAGACGATAGCGGTCGACGAGTTGCGTTTTTAATTACACCGAACGGAGGGATAATACATTGGACATTCTAATGGAAATCTTTTATGGGTATTAATGTGCACGGGCTTCGCTGTGACTTTTTCAACGAGGAGATGCCAGTCACAGTAGCGAGACGGTACGGAGGTCATCGACTGCAGCAATTCTAAAGCCCGCAGCGGTTGTATTGTATGTACTTTTTAACAGCGAGCGGTTTTCTCGTTAAACGGTGAAGATTTTCGTGGTAGTAGGCGATTGATGAAAACGCAACAATAACGGATGTTTCTCGATGACAAAAACATTTTTAACGCCATCCAAACGGTGACAGCCATTTACTCTCGTTGTACTAATAAACTGTCATTGGACTTAAAATCGCATCAAACTGTAGTCCAAATGGGCCGTTCAAATTGTAATTTAGAGAATTCGAACGAGATACACAATGACTATTTAGCTTAGGTCTTGCGCCAACAGTTACAGAACGATAACCAACTAGATATTTCGCCACAATATTGTGCGATACGATTGTAACGCAAATCATATTTTTAATTGGATTAATTACAACAGAGATTACCGACTAAAAGATATACTGATATATACAATTATTACGCGTCATGTTTACAATAATACTCTTTCTACACTTCTCCGGTTCTTGCACAATATTTTGGGTACAATATCTTTCAAATAATTTGTTGGATAATTTTCTTGCAGCTAGCACAGCGAACTAAACCGAAAACGAATTTGCCGTTGTAAGAAATATACTGGTCCACGTGTAGTTCGTATTAAACCAGCGACAGAAATATTGTGTTATTATACACATAACAGTAAGGAGACGACTCAACTAATTGTGACGTTTCAATAAAAGTATAGCGCAATGATTTATTGATGAAATTTTGCGTTTTACACAATAAAATGTCTTGTGTAGTGATAATTAATAATAATATTATTGCACGCGCTTTTGCTTAACGATTCAACGCTGTCGTCGTCGTGGTAGTTAAATATAATTAAAGAGCAAATGTAATTAGCGGAAGGGATACATAATGCGTAAAAATGAGTATCAAGATACACGAAGGAGGAAGATGTCCACGAAAACATGACTCGGAGAAAGCAGCATAACCAACACACACACACACACACACTGTAGGTCCTCTAACACCATGACGTGTGTTTACACAAGAATACAACGCATAGGTACTAGTTGTCGCATGACTCACATCCGTATGTATACCCTGTAGGTACACGCATAAAAAATCATCGATTAACACTCACGCGAAATGATCGCAGAAAACAACATACGCCCACGCTATAACAGTGCAAAATAACAGTAGACGTAAGGCGGGTAACACCCAAGTGAGAGTATCGGCCATACATTGTTCACTACTATCGAAAACTATTACCTTCGTCAATGTGATACGCAACAATGTGTTGAATTAATTTCACAGAATTGTCGACAGCAAACTCAAAGATTTGCACCAACACCACGCCATTTAACATGTAGTGTAGATGTCAACTGACTTCGGCGAAGAAATGTTGTGGATCGGATGAAACTATCGCCTTTTTCGAAAGGTCTAATATTATGAAATATTATTAGCATGTATGAAATACTATTGCAGCTGAAGACATTGGAAACGCCACGTCATCCAGTTTGTAATCCGAGTAACAATAACCCTCCTATGAGGAATATTTAAAATGTACATATTATCGAATGCTTAATAACAAAGCGAAACATTTCTATTTTTTTACGCGAAAAATAACGTGAGAACTGCTTTGGAGCAGTACGACGTTTTAGTGCATGTTACGAATTTACTGTTGTATTTCACATTTTTAGATTATTATAATAATAGTATAAGTATATGTAATAAATAAAACAACAGCTGGAAAACGAAAACGTATCTGGTTTGTCCTACACAGTATAAATTAACAAACGGAATATCCCATACTTGGGGGGAGACCTTCTGCTGGTTAGTAGTGGTTGGCATAAGTATTACTATTAAAATACTTTCGTGTATATAAATATATATGGTTGTTGTTACTCATATACGAGTTTTTTCCGATTGCAAAATCCGATTGAAATGTTTTGAATATTGGAGGGCCATTGCAATGAACACTACTGTGATGTACAAATGTCATGGACACACACGACATAAAGTCTTTTCATTAATTCAAAACGAGAATCGCCATGCTACCGTTTCAGTTTAATTAGCCCCGTCCGACACATACGCTATACAAAATTAACCATTTATAAAATTTTAGTTTTTTTTAAATAACAGCAGTTTAAAAAGTAAAAATACCAGTTTAGTATTTTTAATTTAATATTTGGCATATCTCAAATACAGTTGTTATTTTGTTCAAATAAAAACTTGTAAATTAAGAAACAGATACCTCATACTCTACTAAAGCGTAAAAAAGGACACAATACATCGTTTATACTGAGGTTTATAAATTGCAAATTATAAATTATTAAGCTAGAATGTTATTGTATAAAATTGATAATAGCAAACAATATTTACACTAAGTTTTAAAACATTTATAGCGCAGATTTGTACATTAAGAATGTGTTAAAACTTTATGCTACTTAAAAACACAACTTAGCAGCTACTTTTCATATGTAACAATTGATCTACACTTTTATTTATGTGATTTAAGCAAAAATAAACGCCCAATTAGTTAATCACGATTAACTTGCAATATATAGCTTAAAAAATATATTACTAAAATATGTACAATACGTCCAACCGAAATCAATAATCGTGTTTCAAGGCTTGTCTTATACTTTATCTTGGAGAAAAAAATCTATTTGTATAGATTTCTAAACATCTAAATCGAGAAAATTTAGACTCCTCCGGTCGTCTTCACCACTTCCTAAAAAAAAAACCGCATTCGAAATGTTTAATGGAAAAAAAACTACCAAATTTTTCTTGAGTCGACATATTTTATCGTTTTGAAATATCCCGTACAATATTTTGTAGTAATTGGTTTGCTGAAGGCCGGCCACGGACAAATTAGACGTTCTACACAGTAAAGGTGTGATTCAAACTGCTGTGCTCAGTACTCGGCCAAAAGTATTGGCAAATTACTACACTCTGTTCAGTCGGCTATAATATAGCGTCGTTCTAATTTAAACACGTTGTATATATATTTTTTAAAAATTCAAATTTCTGAGTGATCAGTAAATTTATTGTTCTCGAGTTATTTACACAAGAACAAATTCAAAGTTAGCGCAAGTATTTATAACCCGTACGAACCATAAGCAAACACCTCTCTCCCAATAAAGTCTGACGATAAACTTGGCGCTGGGTCTATTTTGGGACATGTCGTACCGCGAACGGCTTAACGATTGTACGGCGACGAATGTTACGGGGCACGACTAAATAGTATTACTCGATGACAAATAGCCGCGTCGATTATATTCGTGCGAGATGCGTAAAACACGCTACACTTAAAAAATGGCCGCACAAAAAGTCAGAAGCCAATGTCGTTTACACAACACCTTATTTAATCCGAGAGCAGCAGCTACTCTGTGTAAAACCAACGGATCATCTGAAAATTACAAGTCGTTAATAAATCAACACACAGCGATTCCCAACAACAAATTGCGGCTTGCAATCGTTTAAATGGTTTCAGAAAACAATTTCATAACAATAAGAGCACGATATATTAATAATATCAATCGTGTATTGATTTCTATGATCGTACGCACAAATTATATGCTTGTAATGTGTTTACACAATTCAATGTTTACAATAAAACCTACTGCCCATTTGAAATCGCATAAAGTGTACGCGTATAATTACGGGCACTTATTTTCATATTAACCGTCCGAATAACGGCCTTTTTAATTACACCAGCGAATTTCTCCGGTCGAAACGTTTTCTTCAGGTGACGGATGGAATCGATGCGATGGAAATATTAAATCCGCGTGTCGATCAGGTCGTCGATCTCGACACGACGGTATTATTTTTGGACGCCATTGTCGCAGTGGAAACAATTTGAGAGCGCCAAGGAATACTAACGGTTTGGTCCGTACGACAACGATGCATTGTTCTGGTGGGATTTCCACAAATGACGACGGCCTTGATCAAGCTCTGTCCATTGACTTTGTTCTATATACCCGCCGATCGATGTAAAGTCAGCCAATCAGCGACGATGGTTCGTCCCGCGTCAAAAAACGCGCATAAATTCGATAATAATCGTCATGGCTTACTACTATTGGCGATTACTAAACAACAAGTCATTAACATCTCAAATAACGTACTCTGCAGGTTGGAAAGCATACCCGTGAAACAATTGCAACAGCAGCAATATTTTTTCAGGCGATGAGAATGTTATTTGG